TGCAACCGTTTATAATCGGACTATGCATTGCCAATTCGTCATCCGTCAATTAAAATCATTATATAACGTGAATACCAGCTTGTTAGAAACATCGAAGTAAACTAAACTACAAACGAGTAAGACCGATAGAAAGATAAACAAATAGTCGCTTGTGTCGCATGCTGATATATAAGTACTTCAAAGCCAAGTTCAATGCGATTGTCGCAATTGTCGCTTTAGTTATACGTTCATGTACTACGTATAGCTTCGTCGAGTTTCTACATTTCTATATATTAAGCTATAGCAATATTCAATAGAAATTATACACTATATAATATGTTTGCTGTGAGTTAAAAATTGGCACGTAACCAATAATAGGACCGTCACTGTCGCTCCACTGTAAAGTTACATTGATGCGACAAGGTTTAGGTGTAATGATTTATTTAATCGTATCATATATGGGTACATAGATAAACTTATGCGTCATGATTCGATCAAACGCGCACAAGCTAACGGTCGATGTATATAGCAGAGAATTAAAAACGGCCAGTATTTCTAAAAGAGCCAGTGTGACGTCATCATATGCAAACGGCCGCTGCAATTTAAGAACAATGCAGCCGGTTATTGTCCCAGACGTAGCCCGCGACCTAAGAATGAGTAAACGGATGTGCACGATTGATCCCGATGCCATATTGGCATGTTTATGAACGCCGCGTTCGCTGGAGCCCGTAACCATGTCCAAGCGCTATCTCGTTGCCTATTCGGGCGAATCACGGTTTAATCTTATCGAGAACGGGGAGTGAAAAATCCATATCCAAGGGATTCAAAATGCTGAAAGTTTATAATTTACTAACGTATTTAAAAAGAATTTTAGGTAGTTAAGCTAAATAAGATTGGAATGTTTAATATAATTTAATTTTCATTTACAATAGAAATATTTTAGACAAATGTACCTATTATAATTAAATTTAATAAAACGCGGAAACTTAACTTCCAAAATTTGCTTCAAAAAATATAGGATGTCCCAGAACTCAACGTCAAGCCGAAACTGGGTGACAGGATTGATTGTAACCATCATGAGAAAAATCAGAAAAAAATCTATCCCATGCAGTTAATGTGAAATTATGGGCAATTAAGAAAAATCTAGAAATTTTGTCAAACTGTAACAATTTTTCGGTTATTGTGGTTAATTCTTATTACTTTTGTTCATTTAAACTTTGGAACCGTAACCCTAAATAACATTTCTAGAACCACAGTCAAAAATAATAACACAACTGCCCCAAGTTTCCTAGAATTAAGACAATTGGTTAAATTATGAATTTTGAAAATTTGACGATTTTTGCTACCCATTTTACTCTGTTAAAATGTTTTTTATTAGGTCGCTCATGTCCTCTATACATTTCTCTCATCATTTTGTCGTAAAATTAAAAACCTTCCAAGAGCTTGTGCGAATAAAAAACATTTGAACTGAGTAAAATGGGTTAGCAAAAATCGGCATACTCGAAGTTTTTTTTTACTAGTTTTTTTTAGTATGAAACTTTGTTAGTTTTATATATTTACAAATATTTTACCATTTTACAATCCTGATTAAATGCGCGAACTTTTGCCAAGGCTCTTTAGTACATTTTTTTAAAGGAGGGCCTTTCAAAGTCGACAAATTTTGAATATTTCAAAATTCATAGTTTAACAAATAGTCTTCATTCTAGAAAACTTGGGACAGTTGTGACATTATTTTCGACTATCCTTCTTGAAATTAGTAATTAGAAATTAGTTTGACCAAACTTCTAGGTTTTTCTTAAATGCCCATAATTTCCAAACGGCATGGGATAGATTTTTTCTGATTTTTCTCATGATGGTTACAATCAATCACCCCGTGTCGTTGAGTTCTGGGACACCCTGTATGTCTGCATTTGACGCTACACGGTCACTTATGAGTAATCTAGCCAGGCCAACCGTTGTCCTGCCCCAACGCAACAGTGCTGACTCATTCATAATAAAACAAGCAACAAATTACATTGGAAGTAATAACTATACGTCAATAAACGTTAACAACAAACATCAATAATAATTCAACTGTTTTTTTAAATGTTCGAAACGAATACGTAACAGAAGAATCTTGAGCAATCAAAATCACTACGTAATCTTGAAATCGCAACTTGGTCTTCACTAATGATTAAATAGAAAACACGTTTTGTCGATAAACAAGTGATTGCCCATCGAGAAACTTTGTAATAGACGTGACTCATGCTTAGCAATAAAAATGGTGATGAGGAAAAATTTTTTGAGTTTATTTACTTTTCGTTTTTAATATCTTTTCAACCATAGTCACCCGGATAACTGTACTTTTGACGTTTTAACTTGTTCTAATGGAACGGAAACATTGTTGGTGGCCCTTATCTGAATATAAAATTGTTAAATAACTTTATGACAGACATTTATATGAATACATTATGTAAAGTGTAAAGAAACTATCAGGGCTATGTGGATTCATAGCTATAGTCGGCCTTTTATCTTATGTTTACTTGAATTTAGTAAACATATGGAAATTTGTATTCAACCGATGTCACAGTTAATTATTCTCCTTATCAATTAATTACAAGTGCACAGCACATTCCGCTGGTGCTCGGAACAGGAAAACGTGCAGGTATTACTGCATTGTAAACAAACGTCTCATCATCCGTCGCATACTATTGATATTTTATACTCATGTCTCAAATAATACACTAAAAGCCCGAAACTTGGTCGATTTACATATGTTGTGAGACAACAGAAAGAAAACCGAAGGAATCCCTATATAACGGGTATCTATAAGTAAACGATTTTTATATGAGCCCCATTTTACTTTTTTTTTAATTTAATATTATTTTTTATGATTAGCAATAAATATAAGCAACAATTCAAGCAAAAAAAAAACCCAAATTAAATTGGAATTTCGACATACATACGTTATATAAGCATATTCGTAAATTTTAAAAGCACCATAGAAACTTATTAACATATACGCATATATGGGTAAAGGAACACGAGCATATTGTGTACACTCCGCAATATTTATTAACATGAAGGATTCCTTGAAAAATTTGCATATGCTTTTTCCTTATTCTTTGTTCTTACACTAATTGATTACGGCCAAGGTTACAGACGGGAGGTTGTACAAAGGACGTCATCGAACGAATACGTGATATTAAGAAAAAGCAACGTTAGGCTCATGATATTGAAGTCCACACGTCTTTAATGCATTTCGTAAGGCATCGTGGCCGTGTACTGTGAGATCAAAGGGCCTGCGAGTATGAACGTTTTAAAATTCCCTTTGGTTTGGGCCGTTGCACTCCGGCTTGGGACTCGTCTAACCGGCCCACTATCAGTGCGCGGCCCGATTCATCGCTCGCCAACCCGTGGCCAAAGCTGAGCTATCACCAATTGTAACTATGGGCTGGGTTGCTAGCCGTTCCTCCTTATTACAATGTTATTATATTTACTTGTCTAATAAATACCGGATAAAATAAAGATTATCTTGAATTGTATCCATGGTAACATGTTACGCATCGATTCAAACTTAATCAGGTGTGAAAGGGTGATAACACTAATTATAAGAAAACTCAATCTGGGTCCCACCAAGTAACATTTAAATTCGATTTATGTGACTTTTAATTTAATCTCGTAACAAGACTAAAAATTTGTGCTTCTCTATGTAACGCTAAGCTATGCTAATTATGATAAAAATTTGTTTACTCATATGGTCATTTGTGCTTCGTATTATTAAGGAGCAATGACTCCGTGGCGCAGTTGCACAGGTATTGGCTTCGGCGCCCAGGAACGTTGGGTCGATTCCCACACGCGACAGCCATTTGTGTGACCCACAGACAATTGTATCGGATCTGGTCCTTCCTTACAACATAGGATAATGTTATCCTACAGTAAAGAGCATTTATTAAAAAAAAGATAAAGTAACCGCAATGTGAGGAGCCACCTTCCTTAAAAACTTGCTGGGCAGAAAGGTTTGTTGTTAAGGTGAGAATTTCTAGGTTTTGACTAATCGATTTCATAAACCAAAAAATGTTAAGTTTACACTTAAGACACTAAACTGTCCGTTTACAAAATACAATCATGACATCAATTACCGTCAATCAATTAATGTCATAAAGTTTCGATTAACGAAATGCGTTTAATGGGTTAATTTTTATCATTTCAAATGGTAAAATAATTGGATTTTGTTTCTAGAAACCGTCAGAAGTGCGAACAAAAGATATTTTTTTAAACATATTTTTATCTCGAACTCAGTCTTAAATATCATTGCCATTTAGCATCACGTATGCTGTTGCCAACAAAACTATTTTTTTTGAAAAGTAACTGAAATCTTGCCTCCTGACTCACTGCCCACAACATGGCCAGCGATATTTACTGCTTATGCAACTGACTAGGTCTTGTAACATATTTGGTATGCTTCAATAATACGCATTGGGTTTTAATACTATATGAACTTAATTTGTCGTTTATTCAGACAGTAAAGTACTAATTATTTATTTAGTAACGTTCGCGTTCTGAGCGTATTTTGCAAGAGGCTGTGATTATATATTGCCTATACTATAAACAAAGTTCTAGTCACTTTTGGACTAATTTTCAGTTGTCACAGAACCATCTAAATATGACTAATTCAAGTAAATGAGGGAGATATTTTTGTAAACATTTATAATTAAATAAAATAGTTGGAGGCATTTCAGTTTGCGCTTTCTTTTATTGACATGTTTACTTAACGATAAATTGATATTTAATGAATCTGAAAAATTTTATCCCACAGAACTGATTGTCGGGTATCCTTAAAGTTTAATTATGCTTTTTTATATATTCGCAACCATAATTCAGCATCTCTGGTATCTCGAAACACACACGAAACCCATTCCCAATTTAGCACGTTACCAGACGTATCGATTCCGCGAAACAGCTGTTTTATTTTAAAACCTCGACTCGCTAATGCCGCACCGACAAATTGGCGAACACCGAAGAACCTTAAAGATACTCACTTCGGACGCTGGCCTGGTGGGTTATGTGTCTTCACTCGGCACTGTCAATCACAGGTTCAAAACACGCCGCGCGAGCGTCCAAATAGGCGATCGCGCACGCGAGATATATTTAGAGCGGTAATACGACACCGTGCGCGGGCGTCGGTCGTTCGTACGTAATGCTGTGACAGGGCGCGACGCGCGAATGAGGCCCGGCCGCCGCCGGAGCGCCGTGACCTCCCCCTCCCCACCGGGATAGCCCCCCCACCCCCCACGGCGCGGACACCGTCGCCCCCTCCCCCGCCCCCGGCCCCGCAGTAGGGCGCGTCGGCGCAGCCTCCGAGGACGATACCCTCGGCCATCCCTTTGTGCGGTCCAGCGCTGCCCACGAATCCGCGAAACCTTGGCCACGGACTAGGCCGGCACCCGAGCGATCTCAGCCCGCGCAACAACAAGCGTGCTAATACGCAAAAACGCATGACCCGCACATTCCGTGCGGCGCAAATGTTTTGATATGCAACGGCCATTAGGTACAACACGGGCGGGTACTGTCCGTCGGTTTTGTGTTGACACGTATAATAGTAATTAGTGAAGGACGGCTCTTTGTACATTAGCAACTAATACCTATCAATAACTTACCTTATATTAAAGAAAGTAACAACTCCGCGATTACGAACCATTCAAGACGAAATTTCTTTATCACAAGGGCAATAATATTCATTATAAATTATAATAAAAGAAATGATAATGTGTGTTGCTGGTACTAAGAACATACAAAAAGTTATAAAATAACAATTCCATAGAATTGTAAGGGAGGGAAGATGAAGGAAACTAACGCTTTATAATTTTCAGCAAGCATGTTAGTCCCATACGTGGCAATTTTGTCGCAGAACATGTTTAAATGTAAGCTTATTAGCCAGCGTATTAGTCCAATACGTGAAAAGTTTGTCGAGCTACATGCTCAAAAGTAATAAGTGTTTTGATACACCCGACAACCAAAAATGCATTTGTAAACAACATGAGGATTCAAACTTGCGCCCCTAATGACTAAGCAGTTTATCAACACTTAGTGAGTTGTTAGCAACACTTAGTGTGTTAATGATTCTCAAAAATCTTAACACAATAAAGCTATAAACGATGAACCGCGACCAACAAAATAAGGTAAATGCATAATAAAGTCATATAAGATTTGAAAAGCAACATGTCTGATTGAAACAAAACATTGGTATATAAAAGATACTATATTCATTCGTTCTCAAACCATACAACAACAAACTCCGTGTACAGCGCATTATAAACTCTATAAAAATAACTTAATCCCCATCACTCCTCCTCCACCTCATCGTCTGTCGTGAACTCGCTCTCGTTGCCGCCCTGAAACAAAACGCACCAATTAATTCTCAATTATTTCATAAAACTTTGTACTAAAAAAAATAACTTATTTATAAAAGACAACAAAAAAAAATAGTAAACATATTACGCCGCCTTTCCCTGATCTCTATTTGTTGCTTTATGTCGCATTGTCACGTTTCTATTCTTAATTACTGGACTCAACTGTTGATTAGTTGAGTCCAGAAATTAAGAATAGAAGCAATCAACAACTTTTGACCTCATCTTCAAAATCTTTTTATTCATGCTTTCCTTTACCGATGAACTGGTAAAAATTCAGCACTCAAAGTGGCAATTAATTATTGATTTCATTGGCGTACGCACCGGGATTCGAAGCCGTTTATCAGGTTGCTCGAGTGTATTGGATTAAAAACGAGCGCCAAAATACTGAGCTATCATGGCACATTATATATAAGTTTAATTCCATTTTTATTATTAATATTAATTCCATTCAGTGAACACGTAGAGACGCATACAGTGCCGGATTTTTACCTGGACTTAAGGAGGCTAATGTTTATGGAGCTTATTTATGCTTGTTCATCCATTGACATACATATGCTCCATAAATATTACGTTAGGTTAGGGTTTACGGTAACCATGCACATGTTTACTAATTCCTAGGCACGCTCTACAGCCTAAACCTGTCACGGATTGCATTTTATGTCGTCATTAAATTCGTGTCAATTGTGGGGGCAACATAGGGTAAATATAGAAAAAAATATCAAGGAATAGTTAGAATTATTAATGCATTCGGTTTTTTTTAACATTTCATAATATATACTTTTTGATAGATGTTATAGTTTAACGTTTTCAATCCGTAAACTACGTAAAGCTTCATCAGGCACAGAGCTTGCGCGGCCCACAGGCGATGACATCAACTTAGTAACAACCTATAAATGTCCCACTGATCGGCAATGGCCTCCTCTGTACAGAGGGTATAATGCCCTAATGGGCATGGTCCACCACGCGAACCCACTGCGGATTGGCGGACTTCACATATGTCGAAAAAAAATTTTTATTGTAATTATTTCGGAAAACTACAGGTTTCTTTACGAATAAACAATTTCATTGGCGCCGGCACGTTGCTTAAGTATACTGAATTAAAACCGAGCTCCCGGATGTGCTAAAGGAATCAACTTATGCCACATGAATGCGTTCTAAGCTTGTATGATTATTTTTCATTACACCGATAGTAAACAGACACTAAGAATATTCTTATGCGCGAACAACTGTGACAGGGCCTCGCTACAGTATTCTTTGCTGCACGAATGGGCAGATCCGTCCGGGTAAGTACCGCGACCTCACAGAAGACCGGCGTGAATTGGAAGTATTATACTTCTGTTTTTCGTCTGGCGAGTGTGGTAGCCAGTTTATTAAAAGTGGCAACGAATCTGGAACCCTACGGGTGTTGCAAATGTCAATGGGCGGCGGTTGTCACTTAACATCAGCTGAAACGTCATTTCGTTTGCTACCTTCCCCCATAAGAAAAATAACACACCCAATGTGACTGAAGTTCTATTAAACAGGCCACTGCCGACTATTAGATCATGCGAATGGATATCATAAATAAGATAAAACGATTTCGATGCCCATCCGTTCCAATTTCCATAAATACGAAGCCCGCTGCCGAGAGTTAATTGGGTCATTGTTGCAATGGGAATGATTATATATGTTACATATTGGATCAACTAATTATGCGAGATGAGAATTAATGAAGCAAAGAAAAAAACCTTTTAGATTGTAGTGATTTGCAAGGTGGAAATCGATAATATTGGAAATTAATAAGTTGAAATAATTCCTTGCTTGCACTTCCCATTTACTAACTATTCATAAGTTTTGATAATGATATCGAAATGAACGACATCAACTTCAACTAATTTAAAAAGACCATATAATTATAAGTTATAAAAACAATAACAAATTGCCCATTTATATATTCGCAAAAATCATATTAATAATAATCAGTTATATAACGGAATTATTATTACTACTGTATTATTAATATTCGGAATTCGATTATGTAAAGATACAGTTCCGTATAAATTGAACACCGAACATTTACTACTTGACCGATAATATTAGTTGAATACGAAACCAGGATACAATAATCTTGTTTGTTCAACACCATTCCACTCCGGTATCTCGTCAGTGCATATGTACTCTTTCCCACTTTTGGGGTAACCAATGCAAAACTAGTTTGGATTTCACTTACTATAGTATCGCATTGTAAAAAACAACGACCAAATCAATATGTATAGTTGGTGAGTTAATAGAAAGAGTACATTACGGTTATTAATTGGAATCATTTTATTGACTTTGTCGCGTTTTAATTAAATTTAAATACGTCGGATATTTCGACGTAGTTCGTGCTAAGATTAATATTTTCAAAAGCTGACAGTTTAGCCCGAGTTAACAACAGTGTTAACATTAACTAGAACGAGAGCACCTCAGCTGCCCATGACACGTGAATGAATGCTATTAGAAACGTCGGGACGTTTAATAAACTCGATTGAATCCGTAAAAATATCTTTAGTTTAATCATGTGTTTTATTCGCAAATATGAACGTAAACAATTATATTCAATATTTACTGTGGTAAAATCTTAAATCAAAAACTTAAACAATAGGCGGTTCAGATTTAAATAACAATGGCTGGTACCAATGTTTTCCGAATTGTAAAACCAGAAATCTGCTTTGCAAATTTGTGCCCGCCTAGTATATATATGACAGTAGCTAATTATAAGTAGGTCGTGAGTAAGCCGTAAGTGCTAGCTCATTGATCGAGCGCTCGCCTTTAATTCAATATACTCGAGCAACCCGAGTTCCATCCCCGGTGCCGGCAACAATGAAATTGCTAATTTTAAGTGCTGACTTATCACGGGCTCAGCGGTGGTAAGAAAAACATCGTGAATAAATCTGCATGTTTTCGAAATAATAACAAAAAAAACAATATTTCGAACATATGTGAAGTCCAATATGCTGTTCGCTCTCTGTAAAGAGGAGGCGTTTACCCAGCAATGGTATATAAACTGTACAGTTTAGGCTGTAACTTTACTTTTTTTACTACTTTTGATTACAAAAAGGGTTAAATGTCTACTCTTTTATAAGATGATGTCGAGCTAGATCACATTATGAATGAGATTTTAGGTGAGTGTTAGTTCGTGGTGTGTACGTATATTACTCGAATGGAAACTAGAAAGAATCCAGAGATGCTAGCCATCAACGTAGCTGTAACTAAGCCACTAAAAACCCCTCATTGACCACTTTCAACACGTTTGGGGAGCTCCGGGACCTCCTACGGAATGCACCCTACACTGTGCATGAGCACATCTCGCAGTAGGACAAACCTTCCCCAATCCCCAATTCATCATGCAGCGACAAGAGCCCATCCGAGCCTTCGAACAGCTACGAATCCGTCCCTTCCGGGTCCAATAGACCCCTTTTAGTCGCAAAAAAGTAAACAGAAAATATATAAAAAAAATTAGGACACATTTTTACACGTTCTCTAGTCCCAAACTATGCAACGCTTGTACTATGGGTACTAGATAACTGATAAATATACTTAAACATACTTTTTTTTTTGTAAATAACTACTTATTATAAATATATTATAAATATCCAGACACTGGAAAACACTGTGTTCATCACACAAAATTTTTCAGTAGTGGGGATCGAACCCACACTCTCTGCCCTATTTTAGCAGATTAATACCTTAGCCTATTCTAGCAGACAGACCTGGTCATTGTTGTCCGTATCCGAGTCGCTGAGCTCCCACTGTGGATGGTCGGCAGGCACAGCGGCCGCCTCCTTCACGTCCAGCTTCATATCCTGTTGCTGATCCATGCCGATGTATGAGTCTGTGCAACAAAAACCTCCTATTGAGCAACCTCCGTAGACAGTGTAATATATAATCTGATTTGTCTTGTAGCACTGTTATCTGTGGTACGGCCCCGCAACAGTCTAAGCAGTAGCAAGACCTCACAGAAGACCGTCGTAAAGTCGAAGTGTTGCACTTCTGCGTTTCATCTGGTGAGTGAGGTAGCACTTTATTAAAGGTGGCAACGCATCTACACCCCTACCGGGTGTTGCAAATGTCCATGGACGGCAGAGATCAGTTACCATCAGTTAAACATCCAGGTCGCTTGCCACCTTCTCATATAAAAAAGCACTTGTACCGAACAAAAACGGGGATTGAAAAAATGGGAATTTGCTTGCATATATTAATTTGTCTATCGCTTATAGACACAAAATCGCATACAATGATCTATTGATCCGTTGCTCGGATTAGAAACACACCAACTAAGTGCCTGTGTTTTGAGGCACGGCTAATACAGATAACCCTTCTAAGAACCACATCCAGCTCTCTACGATAACTATGGGAATAATTATTAGGTCACTAATTTAAGAAATGACGTTTGATCACAATTCGAGTTATCAGATATGAATATCTCTCCAGTGACATTTAAAAAACCAGAATATTCTTATTGTAAAAATTATTTATCCATCCATACTAATATTATAAATGCGAAAGTAACTCTGTCTGTCTGTCTCGCTTTCACGCCAAAACTACTGAACCGATTTAAATGAAATTTGGTACACAGATAGTCTAGAGCCTGAGAAAGGACATAGGCTATTTTAATTGGAAAAAAGTGTTGTAAAAGGTTGAAAGGTCTTTTAAAGAAAGATATTTATTAAAGGTCTTCAACGCAAGCGAAGCCGCGGGCGAAAAGCTAGTAACTTATAAGCGATGAAATTGATACATTATTAAATAAGAAATCAATTATAGTTATTTATCTGGAAAAGTAGCTGCAACAAATTGTCAGGTAATGATTTAATTTCCCTGGCCTGCTTCTTAACCGACGAAGAATGACATTATTTTTACGTGCATCTTAAAAAATATCTCCGTAGCAATAAACACAGTCGACGTGTTCCACGAATTTGTAGATATAAACACGGATTACTTCTCCGAGCTTTGCAGACATTACGAAGGTGGAACGATTTAAAAATAGATTGTAAATTCAACAACTCGCTCATTCTTCAGTTGTTTTTTGGTTAAATCTTTCCTAATGAAGGCATTAAGCATAATGATATTTGTTTAAGAGTCTTGATTGGAGTAAGAGTCAAAAACGTTTATAAAAGAAGTTCCTAAAGTCCAAAAGTAATATCGTCCCAATCGCATTTTTAAATTGGATTAGCTTGAATAGACATTACAATGCTCAGGAGGGGCAATATTTTGAACAAAATAAATAAAAAATAATTAGATGCACAATGAATAATTTGCTACTTCGGTAATCGTATTAATATTTGGTAATAAAAAATCCGTCTATAAATTCCGTATATTTTGTTATTATTCGGCCGAATACCGAATAATATTTAAATATTTTGTCTGGTCGGATACCGAATTCTAAAGTTATGTTGTAGACTTGAATGATGAAAATGTTGATACATTTTGTAATAATTTCTTCTTTTTATAATCAGAATTCCATTAGTTACCAATTTAAATTTCAAAACATTAATTCGATTTCGCCGGTGCATTACGAATATTTAATCAATGGACTCACTACCTAGTAATAAACAAAGAAATAAAGTATTGAATACTATCGCGCAGTAGCCCCCAAGTTTCAAACCGGGATTAATGTTCCTTGAAATTAATAAAACTATGACGTGTATAAATGTTATAAATACTAGGAACAAACAGAAAAATAATTCTACGCAGAATAAGAAATCCTTTCACGGGACAATGAATACGTTTTTACAAAAAAACCCATCCCAGAAAACGTTCAAAATGAATCACTCACAAAAAAATTGTACGGAACGTTTGTGTGCTAAAGGTTATTATAGTAGTAGTGATTATTTAAATGATTACACTAACTTAACATATTGTAAACATTTTTTTTGTCAAATATTGGTTACGTAAAATGTCCCTCCGAGTCTCGCCGGTTCTTCTCAGGTTTCGTTCCGAACCGATAGTAGTATTTTGATAATCAATAAGTGTGAATAAAGACATTTGAATTTGTATTTGTAAAGCTTACACAAGGAAGTAAGTACATACCCAGGTGTTGACAATGTAACGACCACAAAGTTCTTTAAAAATTAGTGTATGTCATCAGTTAAAATAAGAGTCATTTGTAAAATACAAACGATACTAATGTCGGTTTCCTAAGTATTACACCAGTGTCGTTTGGTTACGTATCAGGTCGACTTAGTCACATAAGGAAAAGTATACGTTAACTTTCCCTTTCCATCGAATAGACCGATCGATGAGTGGGTATAAATGTTTCGATGAGTGTTTTGGGAAATTTTGTTTAAAGCACCTTGGGATCTTCTTAGGCATATCGTTTCGTTCAAAGTCAAAATTTCTTCATTCAGTATAGGCTTATTTTAAATTCTCATTGAACGTAAAATATCTACAAGTCTGGACAGCTTCAACCGGCAAGAAACTGTGGTCTTATTATTCTTTTTTATTATATCTTATATTTTTTTTTAATTACAAGGCTTTACAACATTATGTAAGTATAAAATTAGCAGCAGCCAGTGGCACTTACAAGTAATTTCCACACATCCTTGTCCTCAATGTATTCTACGACAATATAATAGGACCTTTCCATTAAGGTGGCTTTTACAAAATGTTTATAGTTGTTTGTGGACGTTACCTATTCTATTATAAAAGTTAATGCATCTACCAAGGAACGACTTTCTAGTTTTAGCTAATCTAAACCTTAGTATTTCCAGCGTTTGACCCGACGCGATGTGTTGTTTTTTTGTAAAGAGGTGTATATAATTTCGTACATACATGATCATATCGTGTATGTATAGCGACGGGAGCGTTAAATTTATTTGCTTAATAATATGCCGAAGTGACTCACGGGGATCCAAGCCACATAGCCCGTATCGCTTGCTTTTGTAATACAAATATCGTGTCTAAGCCGTATGCTAAAGTAAAATACCATATGACATAATGCTGTGGAGATAGGATTTTCTCAAAAATACAAAATCCTGGTTTAAGAGACAACTGGGATAGAGTAAATCTTATACATTTAGACTTATTGGCGTTCAAAATCAAAAGTAAATTATTGGTCGCCAACCAGCCGGACACAACATCTAGTATTTTATTTGGTTGATCACGTGTTTCATCTTTCCTATTAACCTTAAACAATAGCGAAGTGTCATCCGCAAATAAAACCTTTTTTCTACCACATATTATGGCAAATCCTTTATCCAAAAACAGAAATGCCCAGGAGTCGATCCTTGAGGAACACCCATTTGTACGCTATTGACCTCAATGATTAATTTTTGTTTTTTCTCAGTAAGATACGAGGAAACAAAGTCAATGGCAGGTTAGCGAATACCATGCGAAAGCTGCAAATTATTGAATTATATTCATACATACCTACAATCGAGCTATTTTACGGATTTTATCAATGTATCAATATACACAAACTACTATTAGATTTAGTACAAGAAATCATAACGTAAGCCATATTTACGGATGATACCGCGTTTGATAAAAAAATTGAAAAACGTTAATGAACGGGTTTCCGCGAATTAATTTAATTTTGTCTGTTAATTCTCTTACTGATACTATGCAGCTCAGAAACTTAGTCCTAACAGTAAAATTCAGCGAGTGTGTCTGCAACACTACTAGACGCACCGGGGCGGAAGCGGCACGCGAGCCTAATCGTAATAATTAAGCTGCGCGAGTGTGGCTGCAGCAGCTCTAGACATATCTGAGCAGAAACGCCTAGTCTTAACAGCACGAGTGTGGCTGTAGTAACAGTAGACGCACCGGAGTGAAAGCGGCAAGCGAGCCTAGAGGCCTAACTGTCAAGTTACGCGATTAGGACTGCAGCAGCATTAGACACACCGGATCCGAAGCAGCACGTGAGCCTAGATTTCGAACAGTGAGTTGTGCGAGTGTGGCTAAAGTAAAGTAACAGCCTAAACATGTCTCACTGCTGGGCAAAGGCCTCCTCTATACAGAGGGTATCAGGGCATAATCCAACACGCAGCCCCACTGCGGATTGGCGGACTTCACATATCTTCGAAATTATTTTTATTGTCATTATTTCGAAAATATGCAGGTTTCCTCACGATGTTTTCCTTCACCGCGGAGCACGTGATAAGTCAGCACTTAAAGTTAAAAACTTCATTGGTGCCGGCACCGGGGATCGAACTCAGGTTGCTGGAGTATATTGAATTAAAGGCCAGCTAACCAAGCCCGGAAACTGAGCTATCACGGCTCTTGTGTGGCTACAGCATCATTAAACAGACCGGAGAAGAAGCGGCACGTGAGCCTAGAGTCCAAACAGAGAGCTGCGCAAGTGTCACTTCAGCAGCATTAATCAGACCGGAGGGGAAGCAGCACGCGACCCTAGACCTTACAGTGAGTTGCCCGAGTGTGGCTGCAGCAGCACTAGAGACCAGAGCGGAAGCGGCACGCGAGCCTAAACCGTACAGTGAGTTGCCCGAGTGTGGCTGCAACAGCACTAGAGACCAGAGCAGAAGCGGCACGCGAGCCTAGACCGTACAGTGAATTGCCCGAGTGTGGCTGCAGCAGCACTAGAGATCAGAGCGGAAGCGGCACGCGAGCCTAGACCGTACAGTGAGTTGCCCGAGTGTGGCTGCAGCAGCACTAGAGACCAGAGCGGAAGCGGCACTCGAGCCTAGACCTTACAGTGAGTTGCCCGAGTGTGGCTGCAGCAGCACTAGAGACCAGAGCGGAAGCGGCACGCGAGCCTAGACCGTACAGTGAGTTGCCCGAGTGTGGCTGCAGCAGCACTAGAGACCAGAGCGGAAGCGGCACGCGAGCCTAGACCGTACAGTGAGTTGCCCGAGTGTGGCTGCAGCAGCACTAGAGACCAGAGCGGAAGCGGCACGCGAACCTAGACCGTACAGTGAGTTGCCCGAGTGTGGCTGCAGCAGCACTAGAGACCAGAGCAGAAGCGGAACGCGAGCCTAGACCTTACAGTGAGTTGCCCGAGTGTGGCTGCAGCAGCACTAGAGACCAGAGCGGAAGCGGCACTCGAGCCTAGACCTTACAGTGAGTTGCCCGAGTGTGGCTGCAGCAGCACTAGAGACCAGAGCGGAAGCGGCACGCGAGCCTAGACCGTACAGTGAGTTGCCCGAGTGTGGCTGCAGCAGCACTAGAGACCAGAGCGGAAGCGGCACGCGAGCCTAGACCGTACAGTGAGTTGCCCGAGTGTGGCTGCAGCAGCACTAGAGACCAGAGCAGAAGCGGCACGCGAGCCTAGACCTTACAGTGAGTTGCCCGAGTGTGGCTGCAGCAGCACTAGAGACCAGAGCGGAAGCGGCACGCGAGCCTAGACCGTACAGTGAGTTACCCGAGTGTGGCTGCAGCAGCACTAGAGACCAGAGCGGAAGCGGCTCTCGAGCCTCGACCTTACAGTGAGTAGCCCGAGTGTGGCTGCAGCAGCACTAGAGACCAGAGCGGAAGCGGCACGCGAGCCTAGACCGTACAGTGAGTTACCCGAGTGTGGCTGCAGCAGCACTAGAGACCAGAGCGGAAGCGGCTCTCGAGCCTCGACCTTACAGTGAGTAGCCCGAGTGTGGCTGCAGCCGCACAAGAGGCCAGAGTGGAAGCGGCACGCGAGTCTAGACCTTACAGAGAGTTGCCCGAGCGTGGCTGCAGCAGAACGGCACTCACCCGAGCGGAGGCAGCACGCGAGCGTGTAGAGGCCGGGCCAGCGCGGCGCCGTGAAACGCAGCTGCAGCTCGTGGGACTCCGCTAACGCAGTTATATGCGCGGGCGCCGTCAATAGCGTACGCGACTTGCGGTCACAGATGTAGCACCACCAGTATTCTTGCTTCTCCTGCACGGAAACGGATCACAGTTTAGCAATATGTTCTCAACAGTAATTGAAACTATACTTGTCAATATATTTTAACTTACTATATTTTATTAATTAAGCATATTCTATTTATTGCCAAATGTATGCTGCTAATTATTGTCATATAATAAAAAATTAAAAAAAACAGCCCATAAATGTCTCACTGCTGTTCAAAGACCTCTTCTGTAAATAAGGTATCAGGGCATAGTCCACCACGCGACACCACTGCGGATTGGCGGACTTCACATACAATCCAAGCCGAGTTTCGAAATCATATAACGTCTTTACGTTAATATTTATTTAGTTATCGTTGGCACAGTAAATGTACTTGTATAATAGTAGCATATTTTTAAACTTGAGATAATACACGTATTACGTAATATTTTCTCCAAGTCTAGAAGTAATATTTCTAATTTCGTACATAGAGCACATTAAACGGCGACAACTCATCACTGCGGCGTCTGGGACTAAGCTATATTAGACTAATCTGTCTATAAACCGAGCAAAACTTAAATGCCCCTCTGGAGTTCGTTCAACTCAATCGCGAAGTACACAGTTATCACGAATCTCAAGGAGATGCATGCGGGATGCTGAGACAGGATTACCATCTCTTTCGCGCCACAGACTTTTTCTTCTGATTTTCCGTTCCACGAACACACGATTTAACACTCGTAAGCTCTGCCCCGTCGCTCTGCACTCGGCGCAACTTGTGCAACCGGGCACGCTAGTCTTACTTATCGAACCGATTCAGCGTTCGTCCGTGTTCGTGAGCTCAGCACCGGCCGCAACTTGTGCAATCTTCTTCGTCTCTTGTATCTTGTATTAACTGAAGTTTTTGCTTTCAGTCCCGCTATTAAAGCTTCATCTGACACAGAACCGGTGGGCTAGCTCACAGGTTTGGGCCCTCCGCTGTGGGTAGGGCCGCGCATGTGCTCATGCGTGTGTTTAACTACGACATGTCATCTAAGGGCCATCGAAGTTGCGGTGCGGACCGAGACCCCGATGGCCGTCGACTGTTTTTAGCTAATCGGTGGCTGGGGGCGGTGAGAACGGCCCGGAACGCGGGTGTACCTTGTGTACGCGTTGTGTTGGTTTCGCCGTGCTCGGAGGCGAGGGCGAACAATTGTGTTTGTTGTTACACTAGCTATAGGTGTAGTGTTATCCAGCGGGACCCCCAGCGGTGCGTCCGGCGTATCAAGTCCCCTTCCTCGACCGGGTCGATGAGGACGTTTCGCGGGCGACGCTTGTTGACGTTCGCGTTTGTGTCGGGTTGGTAATTTGCTGCGCTTACCACCAGAGGGTTGGGATGATATTCGGCTCTATCAAAGAACCGTTTGGTCAGGTCTTTAAAATATTCGCGAATCGTCGGGAGTCTGCAATCGCTGTGCAGATCGACGTTGCGTTGATACCACTGCGCACCGGTTGCACGGCGGATGAACTTATTTTGTACTATTTGCTATCTTCTTCGTGCGACCGTGCGCTCGGCCGTGTTTGCGCACCTGCGGGAAGTAGGGGCAGTGGACGGGGCGCGAGCTCTTGGAGCGGCCCTCGAGCCGCTCGCGTTTCAGTATCCGCTTCTGGAAGCGCTCCCACTGGTCGTCGTCCTCCGCCGCGGAGGACTTGCCGCGCGACTCGTCCTCCGAGCACGAGCTCCGCGAGCCGGACTCGTCCGAGCTGCCCGCCGAGGACTCCTCGCCTGCGACATAGTGAGTCAGGTTATGAATGCGCGAAAGAGATGGCCTATTCGTTAGCTCACTGCACGTATACGTAAATGGAGAAACCAAAAAGTAAAGTAACAACAAAATGTTCCACTGCTGGGCAAAGGCCTCCTCCGTGCTGAGGGTGTTACTGCATAAACCAACCACGCAACCCCATTGCGGATCGACAGACTTCACAGTTTTTTTTTTTCAATCCGAAGATACGCAGGTTTCCTCAAGTTGATTTCCTTCACTGCGATGTGATAAGTCAGCACTTCAAATAAATTTCATTTGCGTCGGCACCAGCATTTTAACTCTGGTTGCTCGTGTATTTTTAGAAGTAAGAAAACTAATTCGTTGTAACTATTGTACGACGTGACTTACATGCGACGTTCAGTTCTTTCTGAGAGCTGTTGAGATGTAATCTCAACAAATATTTTTAAACTCAAGTTGTTACGACCTATATTTTTGAAGTAAGTTTTTTACGTTTTTAGTGGTCTTTTTACTCTGGAATTAATTGGTGGTTACAGCATATAAATAGCCCTTTTCACCAGTGAAACGAACAATAAAATTAGTGACACAGTTACTTATAAAAGATGTGTAACTTATGTATGTGTTATCCGCTTAAGCGTGCAACGATTCTCTAGACGTAGCTAGTTTTAAAATTTGTGAAAAATGGATGACAAATTTTTCGCCGTTGCGGGTATCGCACCCACGTCGCTTTAACGACTAAGCTAATCGGTTGATTGCCACACCAACGAAAATCTCATCGTACTTTATCTACAATTGTTTCATGGCATTTTAAACATTTCGATTTTTTTTGTAGTGCCAATCTCTGCACTTAAAATGAAATATTAAAATAAAATAAAAAATTTATGTTGTCTTAAGTGCAAAGTTAGCAGTATAAAAAGAATAAGAAAACGGTACCTTCTTCGTCCTTCTTCTTTGGCTCCCTAGTTTTCTTGGCGTCGTTGGCGACGGGAGTGGTGGCGGGGGTGGCGGGGGTGGCGGGCGCGGGTGCCGCCTTGGCAGGCTGCTTGGCCGCTGCCGGCTTCTTCGTTTTCTTCGCAGGCGCATGCTTCTTGGCCTGCTGTTTCATCCAGACGGGCCGTTTGAACGTGTCCTTCTTGTCGTTCTTTTCGCTCTTGTCGTTCTCGGCCTTGTCGCCGTTCTCGACGCCGCCCCCTTCTTCGTCCTCCCTGCGATGGGAATCGTTAGATTAAGAAAGAAAGAAAGAAACATTTATTTGGCACATGAAAATAAAAGTTTACTAAAATCACATATTAATTTCGTATTTAACAGGAAAGGGATAATATAACACGGATCAGTAGTAGGTAGAGTTTGTTTAGCGAAAATTTTAAAGAAGATGTGATAGGGCCACGCAGCAGCCTCGGCGGTTGCACGGGCAGTCTTGTCCGGGTAAGTACCACGACCGGCGTGCGGTGGAAGCAAATAATTATTACACTTCCACGTGAGTCGGGTAACGGGGCCTAATTTTTTATTAAAGGTTAGATTTGGCAACGCCTCTGTAACCTAGGTGTTGTAGATCCATTAGTATTGGTCACTTGTTGGAAAAGTTCCTATTTAAAAAAAAAGTTTTTTTCCTCTTTTTCAAGTGACAATTCTTCGGTGGCGATTCTATAATTAATCGAACGATAATTAAGAGCTAGTTTTCAAGGAGGAAGGAAAGGTTAGGAAAGCTACTTATAAACTCAATACGAAGCCATTAAATAATATATTATCGTGCATATGCGACTTGTAGATGCGCGCTATATGTGTACGAATACCTGATTTACCACGAGGTATGTACTTCTGTAAACTTCTTACTTAATATTAGATATTGAGAAGTTTCCCTTCCATCATGAATACGGCCATGAACGCAATTTTTTTTGCCAAACATGTACTGAATTATTTTTTAAGATGAATTTTTTATTTTTAGTGCTATACTCTAGACTCAAGATGAAACTCTTAAATTGTAAGTTTTTGTATATCAAAGTCAAAGTCAAAGTATATTTATTCAATAAAGGCCTAACTTAAGCTCTTATTGTACGTCAACAAAAAATCTACCACCAAAGAATGATTCTACCACCAAGAAATGATACATGATCGGCGCTTTCTTTCGGCGCTGTGTGATTCGAATCTGCGTCTTTTGATTTCGCTTTGGTTCTTACCAATTGAGCTAAACGACCGATAACCCCACGGTGCGAGTGCCGAGACTTGGACTTAAAATAAAAATTGATCTTGTAATTTTAAGAGCAATCTCTCGTTATAAATGTTCATTGTTGAAAGATATTTGTAAGGTGTTTTATTCAAGCATTGATAAAATGCAATAGAATGAACGAAGATAAATCTCAAGATTTAATCTCGAGTTTGTAATGCGTCTAGGCGCGAAACCTGAAGACGCAGGTTCGAATCCCGCATCGCCAAAAATTTTTGTTCACAAACATTTACAATTTTAGAATATACTGAACTATGAGCCACTTACTTTATAACCTCCTTTTCTTTGATTGTTGTATCGCCGAAAAGTTCCTTCATGTTGGTCCTCCTGAGGGACACAGTTACAGTAACTATTGCGCCTGCTGTCACCACTGTAGAGTTTTCATCATCAATTACTGAAATAAAGAAATTTCAAATAATTTACCATAATTGAATATATTTTAATACATGCAATTGATTTTATTAACAGTAGCGAGGAGGCCTGTGCTCTCTTGTCTAACCTATGTTTTAAATGTTACATGGAATTACTATTACATTACATTTCTAACACAACAAATTGCTTCCCAGGATAATTATAAGCATTTAAAGACATAAAACTTCATTTCACACTTCTTGTCTTTAGGCTAATATTCTTTGAATCTGTTCAATTGATGTTATTAATGCATAAACTTCTTTTTTTATTTTAAATGAAAATACAATATTGAATACATTTAATATAATTATGTTTTAATATTATATTATATTCAATAAATTGTTACCAATATCATAAATATATAAATCATGATATTGACATACCTTCAGTGTTCACTTGGAAATGTATATAAGGCATATTTCCTAAAACTTTCATGACATCTTCATATTGAGTATCATTCAGAAACCTAAGTACTTGTCTTCTCTCTTCACCTGACAGCTGTGCTAATTGAAGTAGTGATTTTATATGTTTCTTTCGATTTGTGAAATATTTCAAATGATCTTCTGTTATATATGGTAGTTGAAGTAATGGAGATTTATATTCCCAGAGGGCTTGAACTATCATTGGCGACAGTTTCATGCAATTCTCTATTGTTTCTATAGTGGGTAAGCGAGGAACTGTAATTTTAATGAGGAAAAACAATGAAACATCATGAACGATGAAATGTAAATATTAAATATTGTAGAAAAATTGGACGAAATGTTTTTCATCCCTGCTGGAATCGAATTCACGTCGTCCTCATTCGGACCCACACTCTTTAACCACTAAGCTAATTGCCTTATTTTTCTATTATCACCACAAAAATTTTAATTTCAAATAGAAATAAAATACTGAGTAACATTAAATATTTCCAGTTTGATAATTGCTTGAGTGTGAATACATTTACACTGTGTCAAATGCATTTATCACGGAAACAGTTTGGACATAACTGATTACTTATGCACAATTTCATGATGATAGATAACACATAAGAAACCAAGATTTTAGATTATACATCAATATTTCAGCTTTTATAGAAGGAAATTATTTTACATTTAATATTATCAAAATGATAATAATACATCTTTTTATAAATGATTGTTTAAAAAATTTTTGTAACCGTTAACATGACTGTTATAAACATAATAACAGATAATTTTTTGTGTCATACATATAATCAAGACAAATTTTTATATATAGACTTGAAAATCAGGGTTGTAAACCTAAATTTACGCACTAATGTAATTTTCTGTTTGCTTTTAAATAGGGTTTTCTATATACAGCGTGTCGTTACCATCGCGACATTAAATGAACATACGTCTAACGCTACTTGCCAATAATCATAAAAAAATATTAACGTTAAACAAAATCCATAATTAAAATTAAATATTTTTCAAACAAACTCATTAAGTAAAAAAGAAACAAAATTTGTAACATCCTATACAACTCGCCCCACAGCGTCGCATTACAAGCCTCTCCTTCTAACAGTATGTTTTATCTCTTTTAAATTCATTCAACCCATTCATATGCTTTGTGACCTTTACAAATGAACTTTACGTTATAGTTTTATACGGAAGGGTTTTCGAAAATTGTTTGTTTTGGAAAATTTAATAACTCGATAAATATTGATGTTTAAAGAATGTAAATTACCAAGTTGTTGGCAAAATCACTGACGTATCAGTGGAGCCATAGTAGAAAAAAAAAAAAAAGAATGTAAATGTTTAATACAATTTTAAAAAGTCATCCTCTATATGTGTGTTCATTTATTGTCGCGGTGGTAACGACACGCTGTATAGGCAGTTTAAAATAATTTAAACTCACTTCTTCTAGCGTAGGCTAGTGCAATAAGCTGATTAACACAGTTAACCATCTCAACTATAAGGTCAGGGCACCTTGACACAACATATCGTCGATCAACCTCAAGGGTATCTGGAGGCAGACGCATACGCGATAAATGTGCGTGCAATAGAGCTCGCGCTTTTATACTGTATGGCCGACAAAGTGGTTGCTCCTTGTTTTTCTCGCCAAGATTTGGTAACTCCCGTAAAAGCTGAAAAGGTCATTTCCTAACAAATCTAATTAATGGATTACACATATGCTCCGCATATTCATAAACATGTTCGAGTAGTGATAGAGCTGAGCAAAACCTTGTTTATGATATTACAGATCAAATACCTTGAAGACATTTTTATGTTTGTAGTAAAGTATGGTCAGCAGATAAACATAATTAAAGAAATAATTTTTTACACTACTTTTCTATTTTCATATGTATTTAACATATTAAGCATAACTTTTTACCATGGATTCTTGCCATCCAGACATTTCATAGTGATCATCATCCTCACTTTCATGTGATAAGTTCATTACAATTATATAATGTATACTATTCCGCTATATCTATGGTAAAAATTTTATGATTAATGCCATCATTCAACTAATTAGAAAAAAAATAAAAGTCGCTGTGTTTTTTATTCTATTTAAAATGCAGAAATGTCTCCAAGCTATTTATAAATGTAACATATTTAATGCTTAATTAATGTAACATATTTTACCGCAGGAACTTCCTCATTATCTGTTATCCTCTCAATAACTTCAGAGTTATGTCTGCGATCAAATTCACATGATGCAGCAAGAATCATGAGAGCTCTTTTTAGAGGCATGGAAGGAGTTTTATGGCAAAAGTAAAAGTATGCCTGTGTTGTATTTAATAAGACCTGCTCTCCTGAGAAACGAATAGAGCGGTACCACCATGTACCAACCTGTAAAATAAATGAAAATACATATATATTTTATATTATCATAAGAAATATTAAGTAAATAGTTCACCATCTTTCATTAATAGTACATATACCCAGTTTCTGAAACACTGATCATCTGATGATCATCAGAATGATCTTCTTAATGATCAGAATGATCAATTCAAAGATTTTAACAATCAGATGATCAGTGTTTCAGAAACTGGGTATATGTACTAGAAACCGGGCATTAATCTTTAAACATATCAACAAAAAATAAAAATAAATTTTCCAAAAAAATATAGGTATTACTTAATTTTTAAATATTGGTGATAAAATTACAGGAGTAAATTGGTGCTGACATAAAAAACTACAGTGGCTGTTGATTGTCATGTTTAAAGTAAATGTATTTTTTAAACTTAACTTAGGCTATAAACAATGAACACTCACAGCTGTAGGTAGTGCAACCATAAACACAAGTCCATATAAACCAAGTACCCATACACTATTTTCTTTTTCAACAATCCAGCTGGGCAATGCTATGCCAAAGCTCATTGCTCCAGGGCCATCAGGGTTACCATACTTTTCCCAATTTCTACGCGCTTCATCATCTGTTAAAGCCTGAAAATAAAAAAAATATTCATTCTTTCTGTTCTCTAATGAAAATAGTAACAAAATAATGGCATAAGAATTTACTTGGTATGCTTTGGTGAGTCTCATAAAAGCTTTTTCATCACCAGTCTCTTTATCAGGATGAAGAATTAAAGACTGCTTTCGGTAAGACCTTTTAATTTCAGCTTGTGTTGCACCAGGAGGAAGTCCAAGTATATCGTAAGGATCAAAATTGGACATTTCATAATCAAATTGTGACACTTTATATGCTAAGAAACCAAGAAGCACCCATCCTGAGATTATAGCTAATTTAGTAAAAAGATTTTTAAGGCTTTTATATGGCTGTGATTGTTCAATAATTTGTTGCTTTTTTATACAATTTGGACATTGACAGCGTTCTGCTATCTTTGCAGGATCTGAAAAATACGAAAGATTTTCTTGAATTTATAAACTGGAAGATAAAACGTCTATTTACGTTCTTAATTTACTGAAACCGTTTATGATTAAAGTACATTAACTGTATCGTCACGTTGACAATACCGTAAAATAATCAACATAACTGTAGTTTTGGAAAGTGGGTTAAATATGTAAACACCTTTAGGTTTAAATGGTAAAAGACTTTTTTGCGGTGTAAACAACTATTAAGGTATTTCTTAGATTAATTACACTTATACATTACCTTCTTTTCGTTTTCTTGGCCAGTAGTAAAATGTTGCTGGCACAAGTATTAAAGCAAGAAAAGAGAGTACAAAATAAAAGAATGTAGACCCACTCTCGTCATACTCAAACTTTTGGCCACCCATTTTTCAATTAATATTTTAAATCATACTGCGATACATGAAAATCATTACCGCGCTACACGATTAACCTGACGTGTCATTCGCTATTTGTCAGTGAAAACTTGAAAAGGGTTGCCCTTTGCCAGATGACACCTTTGAAAGGACTTATTAATGTACGCACAATAAATGTGAATGAAAATATTTCTGTTAAATTGGTGCAGACAGTTTAGAAACAGGATACAATAACAAAAGAATATGCATACATTAAAAATTTATAGTAATTATTAAAACGTAACGATAAAAGGCATAAAAAATCAAATTGAATTAAAAAATATGTATGTAAAACGCGGCTGCAACGGCTGCATTAGGCCTATACTGTTCAAGGTGTATGAGTTGCTCCAATTGCTCTTTTATTACAGGGAGCAGGTATTTTTCAATACTTCTTCGCACTTGAACCATAATTCAAAAATAACAGAAGTAACGTAACTCGTACTTGTGTTATAAAATTTATGTTCCATCTAAAGTAAATTTTATAAATTTCTATGTTATTTTTTAATATTAATTTCTTTCTACTTCTACTCTTGGTTTCCACAAAGAAAGGTAAGTTACGCGATAAGCCATGAAAAAAAAAATTATGTAAGTGCGTACCTACAAGTACGGATAATAATACGTACGGCTGTGATACGCGTGTGCCTTTAATTAATAAGTGCAATTACCCAGTAGAATGTGTGTTGTGCTTGGTTATTAATACGCAAAAGAAGCAACGTATTTATACGTTTGAAGCCCATATAAAATTCATACTTAATGGAATAGATATTTGTATCGCATCTGATATTGATATAAGTATCTGAGTGTACCAGGAACAGGCGTACCGAGTATTATGACGTAACCTCCTCTATATCTTACAAAATGGTTTCGAAATTAATTATATTTGTAAACCTTGTATTTCCTAATTCTTATAAACTCATTCTCGCTCATGAATAATTTTCCTAATTTTATTTTCGTTGTTACGTCTCCTGATTATATCGCAGTTTTGACGTTGTTACTTCTTCTGGATACGTTCCTGTACCGACTGCAGTCCAAAACGGGTTTTAAATTTCACGCTGTATATATATTATTCGACTTGGGAATAAACTTAAAGGTGCTGTATGCAGTCAATTTTTAACTATTTGAGCGGTAAAGCAGGGAAAGCGGAGGCCGGGAAATCCCGCTTGGTGCGGGGCGCAACGCACGAAGTTCGTGCACGCGCCGCGTGACCTTCATTCTTTACCTTTTAGTGGTGGGCCAAATTACTCTAAAAAGTTTTGTAGAAATTACGAATACGACTTATATTATACATATTTTTTATATATAAGGAATTTTAATTTATTCTTTAAATGTTCAAGACTCACTAAGTTATATTAATTTCTCAACTAAAAAAAAATTAATAAACTTTCGATAAAATCCTTATATTGACAGCAATTATAAAATCGAAATTTTGTTACTTTCCACAGACATCGCGTATTGGTCCGAGCGTCATAAACACAATGGTGAACTGCGGTTCCAAGTTCAAACCTCCATTTATTGGGGTTGTATTTTTTATAATATTTTCACTTTTAATTTGTTAATCAACTAATTATTTTGTTATTATTTCATAAAGTGGCTTTATTTCCGGCATTATTGAAAGACAAATTTTCGTTTTAGGGTGAAAAATTAAATATTTTAATAATAAAATAAATGAGAGTTGGTTTATTTACTGATAGATTGTACTTCAATTGTTTCGTTCAACTTTGAGCAAATACAATAATATTTCGTTGTATATTTATTAAAATCAAAATGATAACAAAAGTTAAATGGTAAACAAAAAATACTTCCAAGTAATAAAATCAACAATAAATATAACAAAAGAAATTAGGGATATGAACCCAATCCTTAAAGAATGATGGTCCCATGCACTGTAAAGTCCAATCAATCACAAGATACGACATTGAAATTTCGCTGTATATAAATTAATTAACAACTGTTAATACATACAAATAATTTAAAAATATGAAATATGCGAATATATATTTTGTAGTTTCTTGTTTTCGTAGATCTAAATAAAATTATAACTCTCAATAATAAATAAATACTGAACGTATTTCGTAACGGTGAGTAGAGATGAGTAGCATAGGTCCATCTAGCAAACCGCCTCAGCGCTCTCTTTTCAAGTGTTCAATCAACGTGTGGAAATGAAAGAGAACCGAAACAACGCTGCCGTGGTGCTTTGTTTTGGTCATCGCGTTCGAATTAATTTTAATGAATTAAATTAATATTTACAAATATCTTACTTCAATCAACAAATTAAGACAACAGTACTGGTTACTAAATAATTCTACAACAATGATAATAATTTAATTAGGATTTGTTGATGTATTACGTTCATTTTGGGTTTTGAATTCCACTTCTAAAGGTACACGATTTGAGAAAAAAACCGATTACGTTCTATTTTTAGAAAAAGCTTGTATAGCAATAAAACAAAGAGATTAGTCTAATGATCACAATTTATCAGAATCAAAATCAAATTAAATGAGTAGTATAAAAAATTACCTAAACGACAACCTTCTGATTTCATAACAAAAATACAAAATAACTTTTTTTTAATGTTTTAAACTTTTAACAATAAAAAAAATAAAATAATTTTGCCACAAATACTCAATGCCATTTAACATTTTATTTCAATCCAATCTGTTAAAAAGTAGGAAACTGGTTTACAATAAACAGATGGTTCCATTTATTAAAAAATCGTTTAAAAAGAAATGATAATTATGTAATAAAATCGATAACAAGTAAAAAATTAATCGATTAATATGAAAATCGATTATTTTTCCATCCAATTATTATATTCTGCTGTTTCTTCTATGACAAATGTCATTGTGACAATCTACTGAAAATTTGTTGCAATTTAATCTTTAATGCTATGGACATAAATTTAAAGTTCTGCCCAATTACTTTTCTTTGAAATCTGCGTGTAATATGCTATCTGCCAGAAGCTAAAATTTGTTATGTGTCATATAAATTTAATTTTATAAAGCCAGATTGGTAATTTTTTATTTTTTTCTATTAAGATGTCAGTTTTATTTTAACAGGCTGTGAAAAAAAGTATCGACCATCCATAGATGGCTACGTTCGATAATTTTACTTTGATTAATATTTTACGCATTACTTCTAGATGACTACTAAAATAATTGCTAGTGCTACTGTAAGAGCCGTTAAGAAAAGGGTCCTCCCTTCACGAGCAGCTCTTGTACTGACACCAACTGCAGTACAAAAAGTCAAAGAAATAATGTCTAAAGAAGAAGCTAAAGGATTTATTGGACTAAAGGTTGGAGTCAGACAAAGGGGATGTAATGGATTATCCTATACATTAGATTATGCAACATCAAAAGACAAGTTAGATGAAGAAGTGAAACAAGATGGAGTTACAATTATAATAGACAAAAAGGCGCAACTAACTTTATTAGGTTTGTATTCTATTTTTGATGTTAAATGTTATGATCTATAATGATCTGTGTTTAACAAAATTTGTTTTTAATCTTTCTTCACATATACCTGTGATAGGCTTTGAAACATTTGGTATAAGGCTTTTTATAAGAATTTTAACAATTCTTGTAATATTTACCTCTTTGCAGGAACTGAAATGGATTATGTAGAAGATAAACTTTCGGCTGAATTTGTTTTTAACAATCCTAACATAAAAGGTACTTGTGGCTGTGGAGAATCCTTTAGTATATAAAAATTTAAGTCTTCAAACTTAGTTTGCAGTTATTTAATTTTTAGCCAATGATATTTACAATGTGGGCAATTAGATAGAAATTTATTAAGAAGCTACCATGGCTTATTAAAAATAAAAATGTGTAGTATAATGTTTTTTTGTTATGAATAGTACCAGATAAGTTGTATATACATTAGGTAACAGCAATATTTTGTTTGATAAAATAATTTTCTACCGTAATAAAAAAATTTAGATGCACTAACTATCCTGCTATGATCAAAATGTGTATTTTCATTCATAGTATGAAGATCATAGAAATAATAAGAAGAGAATACAGAGTTATCTATTTCTGGCTCATATACTTATAACAATATGGTTTAAATAAATACTAGAAAGTAGTAGACTACTTGCTGGAATTGTTCGGAGATAAACCTTATAGCTTCAGCATATTCAACATGTTAAGCTATATGTCAAGAATGCTGGTAAATGTTAAAACAAACCACTTAATAAATTTTATTTGGTCTGAAAGAAAAATAATTGTTCTATGTCATATTGAATTTTAAATTTTATTAACACCGCTTTGTATATTTTATTTCAATGTGCATGTTAAAAATATGGATCAACTGTCAGACTGACTTAGTAGCTTAAAGCACATTATTAAAAGCATAGCAAAAGGATGACTGTTTCACTTTAAAACTCTAGACCTATATTAAAAAAATTCTGAATGATGTACTTGGTTAATTTTCTCTCCCTTTTTTCTTCCTTAAGAGTCACATGTATGAGCTGTCGTGTCCAACAGAATCTCAAATTTAACCATCCATTTATATTAAAAATTGTTATTGCCCACACCTTATCAAGCTTCTTATGAGCTATAAAGGACATAATCACGTCACAATAAATGCACCAAGCATTGCAAAAATGAAACAACAATGTAGATAAAATACATTGAGAGTTTATTTGGTGTGGCAATCAGCCATTGACTTAATGGTTAAAGCGTCTGACGTGGATTAAATTCCCTTTTTTGTCAATGATATGTTATACGCATACAAATTCACGGTCAAAATTATTCCTATTTCAGAGTGACTTCACACGTTTCATTCGAATGGTGTAAGCACAAAACATAGGTACTCTAGGGAGTACAAGGATAGCGTAGTAATAAGAAAAACTAGAATCTGCCAATCCAGAAAAGCCCTAAACCAGTACAGAGTACACCTATTTGAATTTTTAAGTTTTCGCATTTAAAAAAAAAACAGTACTCATATTTATGAATATCTAAAGATAACAGATGACTGATCAAATAATTTTTCTAAGTACAAAGAATCATACAAATTTCTCCCCTTTACAAAGTTGAAATTTTATAATAATTAATATTAATAGTTTTGAAGTTATACTTCATACCGACACCGACCTCAAAGAGAATGTAATCACTACGTTTATGACCGACCTGATGAAGTTGGTCGCAAAGTGACCAACTTCACGGTGTTACCACGACAAACAAAATTTTTGAAATTTATCTATAGTTCCAAGTTTACATTGTAGCTTTATAAGCTTAATAACTGAGTGAAGTCTGAATTAGTGTTTTGCCGGATCATTAAAATTGTTGATCCGCAGATACGGATCATTGGCGTCAAAATCCGCTATTGTCTTTACCTATCATGACTTTTGGGGGATAAAGCTACCAAGTTACTCTCTTTGAAGTACAATTTACCGTTCTTTATTTGTCACTGTGTTTTTAATCTAAAGTTAACATTTTGACTGTCACAGTGTATTATCATCTATTTACGATTATAAGGGTGAAATCCCTCAAAAATATAGAGGTAACGGAAATGGACCTTTTTTCCGACGGATATCCGCAGATACGGATACGGATATCCGAAACATCACACGATGGTCGGCAAAAGTCATTTTTAAATGAAATAAAAATTTGTAAAACTGTAGAACGCATCGTACTTTCTTTATTACAATACAAGGATCTAGATAAACCTAAATAGGTATTCTATTTCGCAAAATGATATATTGATTAAAAGGTATGTAACCATACGTTATTCACATGTCATGCGTAACTAGAGACGTAACCGTAAGAAAAATTTATATTTTTTTCTGTCTCTTTTACACAAATAACATGGTGGTAGCTCTACGTTTGGATGTAACTGGTATTGCTGTGTGGGACGTTTCAGTGTTTGTCTATTTCGGCTTTGTTTACGTGTTTAGTAAAACGAAAGGGTTTTGATAAACGGGAAAGTTTAACTGTCGTTTATGGAAATTAATTGTAATATTCCTAATATACAATTTGTGAAGAAAAAAAATATAAACGGTTGAAATGAATAACGGGGATGTTGGAGGATCGAGAGGCAGAGGCCGTGGATGGCAACAACCTGAAAACCCACCTCGGGAACTACGGCGACCAAAAGCCGTAGTTGAAGATAATAAAGGTAGGTTCAATAGGTAAAGTTTAAATTAACACTTTCACAAGATGCATACAAATAAGTAGTAGAGCGACTACGTCATGCATTGGTCATCTATGCATTTCATTTCAAGACTTCAGGTGAAAGTTACGAAGATTTCCATATATGATGACGTCGACGTATTTTGACAGTAACCGGTTGTGTTGATGCGACTTCACCCCTACCGTTTAAAATGTATTAAATTATAAATGCGGTATTAAAATGCTTCTTCATTAAACATTGAATAATTAAATGATTCTGTTTACATATTTTTACTTCAATTTAAGCAGTAAATTTAATTTAATTTATTATATTTAGGTTAATTTATTTTATTTAGCTTACCCAGTTTGTCTTAAACATCAATGAAGCTTGATTAATTTCTTTCATTTTAATAGTTGAGCCATCAAAGTCAAAGCTCTCTGCCGATGCCAAAGAGTGGTACCCTCCAAACTATGTACCACAAACTACAACAACATATACTGAAACATCTGCCTACAGGCCTCAACGGTTTTCGGTTCAAGATAGACTTCGTCAGGCTCAAGATGTAAATCCCTATAATTATGATGATATGTCATATTCTCTTGCAGAATTTGAGAACCAGGACTTGCGGGTTAGTTGTATTAAATGTTTAACAAATTATTTGACCCATCAATGTATATATAATTTATACTTTCTATTTATTTTAGGAGAATCTTGCTAATTTGATAACTGTTATGTGTGAGATAACTTTTGAACCTGGCAAGTTTGACACTTTGTGCGGCCCACTAGTTGATTCTTTCGTCTCAACATTACATGATGTCAAGTACACTAGACCTCTTGTGGAAGCTATTGTTAATCAGGTAAAATATGTTTTTAACACATTAATTACAAATTATTCTATTATTTATGCAAGCAAATTCAAATACATGTCTAATTTTGACTTTTCCTGACCTCTAGCTTACAAGATATGTTACTAACATTAAGCATAATTTGAATATCTCTATAGTATGTAATCACTAAAGTAGATCCTAATCAGTTTTATAGAATCTAATGAAAAAGCACCACATACCAATATTTGTATCTTATCTTGATAAAAATTTGTGCCTTCTATGAGCAAAATAGAGAATCAAAAATATATCATCTCTTGATGACCAGATTTAAAATATAACTAAAATATCACACAACATGTTTTTGAAGCCCTTCATTTGTTACACCATTATTGTTTCCCAAAACTTGCAATGCAGAAATGAGTTTGTGTGAGATACAAAAACTGTTGCACAATTTATTTATTGCATTAAATCAAATTATTGCACAGGTACAGTTTCACTCTTACATTTATTTTGGAAATTAAGTTATATCCAAAAAAATTTTTAAACCTTCATATAACTATAGCCTTGATGTCCTTTATCCTTCTTAGGGTTTCATACCCAACGGGTAAAATGGGACTCTTTAACTAATACTCACCACCTCTGTCCACTCTCTGTCTGTTTGTTACTAGGTTGTACCTCATGAACCATGATAGTTAGACAGTTGAAATTTTCACATAATATGATGTGTTTCTTTTGCTGCTATAAAAACAAATACTAACAACCAGAATATAAAAATTTGTAAGTGGGGCAGCATAACATGATTTTTCTGATGTTTTTATAGATCCAACTCGCACTTGGTTTTTTTATTTATATCATCATGGTTATTTTATTTGAATACTAGATTTCTCTGTACAAATGGTACTTAATTAAAGTTCCCTATTTTTTTCAGGGAAGATGAGAAACTGTTATAAATTCATGTATTCCATTCTTTAATAAATGAAATCTGTATATGTTGAATAAAACAGCACCAAAAAAATGTGTGTTTACTAAGTTTGCATGTAAGAAGTTATTCTTCTTTAGCATAACAAAAGGAAAATGACCAAAAATTTTATCCCCCTTGTAATAATACTCTTTGTTTGTGAAAAATACAGTAAATGCAATTGATGACAGTTTAATTATACATGTAACTGGATTATAGGTTTTTTTTTTTGTTTTTTTGTGTTCGACTTACTGGACGGACCTGGCTTTTCATGCTACAGAGAATACTGTTGCATGGCCCCACCACAGCTAAAATATCAAAAACTAGTTGCCATGGTACTACCGTGAAGTTGGTTGCAACCAACTGTGTCATGTTGCTTTTTGACTGTCGTTGTGCGCGCGCATCGTAAAGATTTTAATCCCAATTTTTTCCCAAACACCAAAAGAAATATAAGTTCAAAAATAAAATGATTATTATAAATGAGTTTTTTTATGTGAAAAGTTGCCAAGCGACTAGACGGTTCATCTGATGTTAAGTAAATACCGCCGCCCATGGACATCTGCTACCCCAACAGGGTTCCAGATGTGTTGACAACCTTTTGAAAATTGGGCTCCGGCCACCTCACTCACCAAACATGAAAAGATAAGATAATCATTTATTTTCTTAACTGTGAACGCGAAAGTATTATACTTCCATTTTCCTGTTATAAATTATGCACACAAATTTACATTCCTTAATAATTTCTGCTTAGTCAATAGGTGAGTCTAATTTCCGCTACAATGGAGCCAGGCTTTGCTCTATGTATGATTCTGTGGCGCCACCTGAAGAATCAACATTCCGTGCATGCCTTTTGGAGCGCTGTTCCACTGAGGAGAATAAAATTATTACTGGCATTGAGACATCTGAAGAAAATATGAGAGGCTTTGCCATGTTCCTTGCAGAAATATATACTCAATTGGAAGATAGCCAGGTATATTATCTAAAATATATAATACTTAGTGTTCCATTGATTATGGTTTTTTTAACAACCTATCTATTTGACTGATAAATATTATAAATCTTTATTTGCTAATGTTAATTCAACTTTTTTAAGTATCATGATAATATCTAAAAGTTTTGAATGAGCCTAACATTATGTTTTGAAATTTTATGTATACTTTTATATTTGGTTTTGAACTTTTAACTCTTAACCTTATTGCTTAAAATTTGTTAAATTATTATGGTGGGATATTTATTTGTTTTCTCGTCTGGTTGGGTTTATAAATAAAAAATTATTATTATTATTAATATTCATCCATGACTGTGTTAAAATTATATGTTTTAATTTTTAATTCTATATCTGGTGAGTTGTCTGTTTCAGGGTGGCAGAATAAAGTCTCTAGGCGAAAGTCTCTGCAAAGTTCTTTTACATTTGCTTGATACAGACAAAGAAACAAATATTAAAGCTGTGTGTCAACTACTTAAAGTAAGTAATGGAAAAGTAACACTTTTTATGTGCTATTGTTGCGTTTTTTATAACTCCGTAATGTCAAGGTGTTAAGGTATTTATTGGCTTTGCTATTGTTGGTCGTGGGTTTGATTCCCACACGAACAACTATTTGTGTGACCCCCAGATAGTTATTTCACATCTGTGTGTCTGTCCACATGAAATTTATTTGTGTAATTGTGTGTTTCTAAAGTAAGGACAATGTTTTTTTTTAAAGTAAATATTGCATTGTATGTTTTTCCCTTTAATTGTAAATGTTTCAATTATTTTTAGCTCTATGCAAAACTTTGTATTTATGCTAAGTACAGTTGTAATCAGTTCTCACGAACTTACTCAAAACTTAAATAAAAATTTAAAATACAGAGTTGGATTTTGAAATATAATCAAAATTAAAAAAAAGTGAGTAACAAGTGCTTCCCCGAGCAGCTGTCGGGCATAGCGCTGGACGCGGATTGCCCGTCGGGCATGCACGCGGCGTTCGAGCGGCTCCGGCGCCGCACTTCGCTCGCCTGCGTTCGCGGCGTGGTGGCGCTGCGGGCAGCACGCTGGGGCCTCGCGGAGCCGGACCACGCCCAGCCGGCCGCCACGCCCATCATCGACCCCAGGAGGCGTAACCCTAACAGTGAGTAGCTGATTGGTAAACAGCACATCTCTCAGATTTAGCGATGCATCTGTGAGGTTCCCAGGTTATATAGCATATCGAAGATAATTAAACAGATTCAGGAGAGGCAACCCTACTGTTAGTAACAGAGTTGTGAACAACACCTCAAATTAAAAATATCTTTATTCAATAGACGCTTGCTCATTCTTATGAAAAGTCGACTTTTATATAATACATACAAAATAATTAATACGTAAGTTCTTAAGTAAGTTGCCATCCATCATTCATAGACTTGAGCGATCCATCCGTAAGGTTTCCAGATTGGGTACAATTAAACAGATTCAGGCAGTGCAACCCTACTGTTAGTAGCTGAGTTGTAAACAGCACATCACTCAAAGACTAGTGATCTATCTGTGAGATTCCCAGGTGATTCTATAGCACATTGGCTACATCTAAACTGGCTGGGATGTCTCATAAGGAATAGTGGACTGAGTAAAATAAAAATACTTTAATTTGTATAAAAAATATAAATTTCTTTAATTTTCCAATGTAAAATAATTCAAAATTTATTATATCAGTTATGAATGGAGAAATGGATGGAGGCTCAAACAACGAAGGAGGGTACCTTGCAGATGGCCACATGCTGACAGCAGAAGAGTGCGCCTTTCTACAGAGCAACCTACCACCTAAACCTGCTGCACTCGATGAAGATATACTGTAATATTTTTAGATAATTCAAACTTGGAACAAATTTCAAAATAACTAATATCAAGATTAGAATTTTAATTAATTTCATTCTGAAATATGTCAAATTGTGTTAAGAAACTTATTCTAATTAATAACTAATATAATCTACCTACATATTTGGCATATTAGTTTATGGACACACATAGTTTACTTCTTATAAAGCTAGTAACTATTTAACTAATTTAATGATAATATTTTTTTATATCTAGTGAGTCATGTTATGGATCATTAAAATACTCGTGTTTACATGAAATTAATAATAAAATATTAAAAACTTTTCAGTGACGAATTGGAAAATGAATCATGGGAAACAGGTATGGATGCTGAAATGCAAGCTGGTTTCCTGGAGTTCCTCAAGATATCAAACCAGATCAAACGATAACCAGAAATTTTACGACAGATTAGACTTCGCCCAGGAAAGACCAGAGCGAGTCGTCAATCTACAACGACAGTGGGATTGTGAAAATGTAACAAAAAAAATTAAAATAATTGAAAACGATAAAAATATCTCAGTGACAGACCAACAATATCACTTTAGAAGAATTAGCATGAGTTGTTTAGGGTGCGCCTAGTGAAGACTCTAGAATTAGAGTTACTAAAGCATTTATGATTCATTATAAATCCCAAGTTCTGCCTTTAAAACCATATCCTGATGTCTGGTTGTGCATTGGGCTCTTTGATACCTAAAAAAAGTAAGAGTGGATGTTTGCATAAATTGTCTTGATGGTGATACTTCCATATTTGCATTTGTTAGCAAAGTCTGTAAAAAGTGTCCTCATCAGCAAAACGAAACTTATACCTAATGCCTTTCAATAAATGTTTTAAAAAACAGATACATATACATAGGTGCTCTTTTAGAGTAGATATTGGATGTTAAAGATGTTCATATATGTTTATTTTCTTCTAAGTGAGCCAATTAGTGTAATGTAAATCAACACCCGGTTTCTGAAACTGATCATCGTAGATGTCAACTAATCAGCTGTCAAAAAGATTTTCAAATGTCATTTTAGTTGCCCTAAAGATGGTTAAACTCTCTGAATTGACCGGAATGATCTTCTTAATGATCAGAATCATCAAATCAAAGAGTTTGTGAGCCTGCAACTAAAATGAAATTTCAAAAGCCATTTGACAGCTGATTAGTTGACATCTACAATGATCAGTGTTTCAGAAACCGGGCGCAAGTGTGTCTAAGTATAGTTGACATTTATTTGCAATTAACATGTTTTGGTCTGTCGCTACATTAGTGTAAAATTATAATTGCATGCAAGCAACATAATTACTTTGGATAAACCTGCATAATTTTATTTGTCTTATTATATTCACAAATGTCTAAACTGTTTAACAATATGCACTTATGTCAGAAGACAAAGACTAAATGTAAACAAGTATCATAATCATTCACTAAGGTGTAACAGAAAGGATGGCCGCGTTTTTGATATTTCAATATCACTAGAGAATATTACTAATTTCAGTTGCCACATGGTGCATATATATATTTGTTACATATATTATAGTAACCCATTGCTTGTTTACATTTTTTCTATACTCTTACAAATATTGAGTGATCTCATTTTCCTTCCTACAATATTTTTCAAAATTCGTCGTGACAATAAGATGTGACATAATAATTTTTATTTTGTTTATGAAATGTTTTTAGATTAAGTGAAATTTCTTTAATGTGTATCATAAAGGTTAGTTTTGAAAGAACGAAAGATAGTACATAATCCAATTGTCTATTATTTAGTAACTCAGCCGTAAGCACTTTATCAATTTCAAGATCCTCGTATCAAATACATTACAATACAATTTTAGTAATTGAAATAATGCACAAAATGTCGAAAAATAATAATTTAAAAGTTAAGTAGATATGAAACATTTGTTAATTACAACTATTTTAATGTAAATTTTAATTAAAAATCCTTTGTGACAACAATCCTTATTTCATCAGGACATGTATTTTTGAAGTCTTTAAAATCCATAACGTATAATATGCTTCAATTGTAAAATTGAATGATTGTTCATAACTTGTCCATATTCGTGCATTTATTGTCATACCAAGTCATTTACTGGTATTTTTTGCAAGTGATATATATTCAGGGCCAATGCAAGCTACCAACCTGGTGGTGCAATGTACTTCCATTATTTTATTTCTTATGTAATATTCAATGGTTCTAGTTAAACCAATAAAGCCAAATTTGTTACTTTATGATGTAATTCGTTATCAATGTCAATAAGCTTGTTTGTAATAAGTGAGACTGTGTGATAGTGGTATAATGAATTTTAATCAATGACCTAAACGCCATTTGGATATAATGTTGTTCTTCACATACTTTAAACTTAAAGTAGGTATATCATACATGTCCATTCATGCTGCTCTATAAGGATGCATAAATAGAAATACATTTTTGAATATTTTTCCACTATATACTGGAATTATTTATTTGAAATGATTAGGCAAATGTTTATAATATTCCATTGTATTTTTGTTGCAGTGATATTATGAATGTTATAAGAATAAATGGATATTTTAATAAAAGTCATTTAAGTAAAACTTTGTATCATTTAATGAAAAGTAAATAGAGTTGTGTAATAAATACTTATTGTAAATAAACAGATTTCCAAGTATTTCTATTTTGGATGTTGGTAATTTTGTACTATTATTGTTCATTTCAGTTGTAAATTTGAGTAACGCATTTAAAAAAGATATGTATAATTTAACCATGTAATCAAATGAGTCATATATCCTGTAATTGCCAAGTACATATAAAGTCCTGAGATTAAATCTCAGTTACACACATTGGCTTAAATATCCATAAAATGTGTTTATCTTTTAAAAAAAAAATACTTATTCGTTTTTTATTAAAATATAAAATAATATTTGTATAAATATAGGAAACTTGGTTTGGCATGATAATATATTTTAGAAGAATAGAAGAGCAGCAATAATTAAGCAATTAATTGCCCCTGTTCTGTGAGAATAAAAATCAAGAAAGATATAACAATTGGTGATAAATTTTTCTATACTTAATAAACTACATTTTTCATCATTTAGCTAATGAAATATTTCTTCAAAACAACAAGTACAAACATTGAGATTTCAAACTGAAAACTTACTATTGGAGTAAAAAAGTGTCAAAAATATAACATTTCAATAGGACAAACAGTTTTAAATCATTCATTTGAAAATTAATGATTAAAATTTTCTCACCACAATTTCGTTGTATATTGAACACATTTTATTAATCAAACATCTGGTAGAACTTTATAGGGGTTAAGAATGCCATTTGGGTCCATAAGTTGTTTCAACTGGTTCATGAGTAGGAGGGCGGTCGCATCTTTGCTGTAGTGGATATAATGTGGTTTACGGAAGCCCACACCGTGTTCTGCACTGATTGAGCCTCTTAACTTGGCAACTTCTTCGAAAATAAAAGGCTCCAACATTGATGACACTTCTTTACTGTACTTCGGTACCGTGACATTAATGTGAATATTTCCATCACCTGAAATAGTTGTTTATTAGGAGTTATAATGTTTTAAGTTATACTTTTTTTGGCGCGTTTGGAAAAAAATATACTTATATGAGAGTAAAATGTTTACGATGCGCGCGCACACCGACAGCCGAAAAGCGACATGATGAAGTTTCTTGCAAAGCGACCAACATCACGGTATAACCATGGCAACGGGGCATACAACAGACATGATTTTTTTTGCCGTTTTTATAGATATATACACAGAATGATTTTATAGACAATGGACATATTAACAAAGCATATGCAGAATTTGATTCTAAATCTGAATCTGGTACGTACTTGTGACCTCGGCTTTTTTAAAAGGTTATATATGTACAAACATCTTTGAAGCCTGTTGAAATATAGGTGTACAAGTTTTGACTAAATAACATAATAATTGCGACGTGGTGTTTCCCGCTTATATTTTGATTTTGTAAGATTTGACAAACAGTCCAGCAACAATCCACCAACAAACTTTCCTTAAAATCGTTTTACTTGTTTACGATGTCCCCATTTCTTCTATAAAAGCCCTACCGATTATCCGAAAAGACGTCCAAATGAGAATATAAAAAGTGAAGCTTGAAAAACTTAGTTATTGGCATGATGCAAACATTGATAAGTTTAGCATGGTTGTAACTTCTCTTACTTTAAGATGTTATTTAAAATAAGGCGAAACTCTTCCTAGGTATTTTTTTATTTAGAATCCAGAACAAAGCCAAGGTTATCTTGGAATAAATTTATTATTTAGAAAGGACGAATATTCTAGGGAAGAATTTTAAAACAGCAGCTTCATTTTCGTTTTGTTAGCCTTTTTTTTTTTTTTTGGTATGGGGGGGGGGAAATCTTCAAAAGATACCCTGTCACATGACAGGGTTATGTGGGGTTCGTACTCACTAAAACCCCCTCGGTGGCCACCTTCTGTACCTTTGGAGGGACTCCGGGATCTCCTATGGAACGCACCGGTGTCCCTCGGTACTGGGCGTGAGCACGCCTCGGAGAAGGGTAAACCTTCCCCGATTCCCTCGCCGTCTTCCAGCAGCCCGAGACCACTTCGTGCTGCTGCCAATCCGTGTCCCCTTTTAGTCGCCTTTTACGACAGGCAAGGGATACCTTAGCTCTATTCTACGAGCCCGACACTACAGGGCTGACGGGGCGCCTCGTCCATTTCTACCGACCCGGTGTCTTCGTCTCCGAGCGGAGTCGGCCCTCTCCCGTTCCCGCTCAGCGGTCTCCTTCTGAAGCATAACAGCTTCGCAGAAGGAGACCAGTGCATCCGTGCCCGGTGAGTACTTGCGTCAGACGAAAGGTGACGTGCGCAAATCCCGCACTAAGCCAGGCTTCGAAGCTTGGCAGGAACGCAGTGACAATCCGTTGGCGCGAGTTCTGAGGTTCTCCCAAGCGCTCGCGCCAAATCTCAAACCCCCTTGTACGCTCCTGCTCCCGCACCTCTCCCGCATCCAGGGGCTCGGTATCATCCTGGGGTAACCGAAGGCGAGTATAAACTCCCGCATCTATCTCCGCCAGGATGTCCAGTGGTGGAAACCGAGCTAGGATAGTGGCCGCCTCAAAGGATATCGTTCGATAACCTCGTGCGATTCTGATGACCATTCTCCGCTGCAGGCTATAAAGTTTAGCTCTGCAGCGGCGAACGCTCGTCAGCCGGTGGAACCATACGGGCGCACCGTAGAGGGCCATCGAACGCACGACCCCCGCATAGAGGCGGCGAACTCCTTCCCTGGGGCCCCCGAGATTAGGCAGTAATTTGTGTAAGGCACCTACTACCTTCTCTATACGGGGGGCCAAGCGGTTGAAGTGCTCCTCGAAGCCCCAACGACTATCCAGAGTGAGACCAAGATATTTCATCACTGGTCTCACCGGGATCTGCACGTCACCCACGCGAACCGACCAGCTGGGTGGATCCCTTCCTCTAGGAAGTTTGTGGAACCAAAGCGCCTCGGTCTTATGAGGCACTATCCGAAGACCCAGCTCATGGATTTTGCCCACAACGCAAGCCACCCCAAGCTCAGCGAGCCAACTGGTGCTTTCGAAGCTACCCCCGTCGGCCAATACTAGAGTGTCGTCTGCATAGCAGATAACACTTACACCGACGGGGAGAACAGTTCGTAGGACGGCGTCATATGCGAGGTTCCAAAGTAATGACCCTAAGACGGACCCCTGTGGAACCCCGCAGTTCACCTCCCTATAATGGACTAACGCGTCCCAACCCACGTACTGAATGCACCTGCCGTGCAAGTACGCCCCGATAATACGCTGCAGATAGGGGGGTACCTGGTGGTAGGTCAGTGCTTCCCTGAGTGTCTGTCTAAAACCATACTGGCTATCCGATAGGTCGGGGCCTACCTGACGTAGGTGCATTTTGAGGCGGTCGGCAATAATTCTTTCAAATAGTTTGCCCGCCTCATCCAGCAAACAAATAGGTCGGAACGCAGAGGGAGCGTCCTTCCATCCTTCTTCAATAGCACCAATTTGGCCTCCTTCCACCGTGAGAGAAAAACACCGGCTCCGAGACAGCTATTGGAGAGTCGCCTCAGTCTCCCTCCCAGTCCGGCGGCGAGAGCTAGCACCCACACCCGACCATGAATACCATCAGGGCCTGGTGCGGTGTTCCGGCTTCGAAGCCGTTTAATGGCCCGGTTCATCTCGTCCTGAGTGACTCCCAATCCATCAGACCGGTCTCATTCATAATTATGGTTGGGGGCTCAGGGATTTCCTGGGTTAGGGGGAAGAGCGTATCAATCACTCTTCCCACAAAAGTTGGGTCCAGGGTCTCCGTCAGTGGAGGGGCCCATGGTCGGAGCTTGCCCAATACAATCTTATACGGGCGCCCCCACGGATCCCTATCCAGACTCTCGAGGAGTTCACTCCAGGACCGAGCCTTGGCTTCCTCGATCGCTCTTTGCAGTGCTTTTGTGGCACCTCTGTAAGCCTCGTATGCTCTCGCCTCCTTCGTTTTGTTGGCCTATGTTAGCGAAGCTTTATAGTCCGTAGACTATAAAGCTTCATCGAACGCAGAACCCGTGGGCTAGCCAGAACCCACGGGTTTGAGGCCCTCCACAGTGGGTAGGGCCGCGAATGTGCTCATGCGTGCGTTATCTAAGGGAGGAGTGTCGCATATGGGCTATGGAGGCTCGGGGCGGATCGTGAACCCGTTGGCCGTTGATTGTGCCTGGTAGTCGGTGAGATCCGCCCTGGAACGCGGATGTACCTAGTGTACGCTTTGTGTTGGTTTCGCCATGCTCGTAGGTGAGCTAGTTTTCATTTATATTGGTTTAACCAAGTTTCACACCAGTCCTAGTTTTACATGTAACGGTGGAAGCAACACTTTTTAGAAGCAACTTTGCATTTTGTAAATACACAAGTTACACAAAAAAACTTACCGACATGCCCGTATCCATAAACTTTGGTTGCCATTGGGCCCAATTTTTGTCTTAGTAACGGAACGAGGTTGTAGTAGCTGGTTAGAGGCAAAGATACGTCGTATTTGAAGACATAACCGTCTAGAAGACCGGCGCTAGCTATATTCTCGCGAAGATTCCAAATTGTCTGTGTGCAAATAGTAAAACTGGTTCAAAATCATACATACAAATAAAGTAGGTAAGTGGTATTAAAATTTGTAGAAAAAGTACGTATGTTTTTCGTACTTTTTCTACAAATTTTAATGTTGATTCTTAAGTGCAGAGATTAGCACTATAAAAATTTTAATTTCTAGGTGAGTGATAATTATTTTAAAACTAACCTCGTCGTAATTTATTGAATAAAAATATTTCCCATATTAAATACAAACTAAACTACTTGTTATATTAATTATTAAACCTATACCGCCCAGCGTGGTACCAAGAATGCTAAGTGGTTTTCCTCACTGAATAGTTACTTGACTTAGAGCATGGCCTTTTATCACCAGCCGCAACAATAAGTCGAGGGCATAATCTACATATTTATTATAGCTTGATAATTATAATAAGTTTGATTCCAAAATAAAAAACACAATTCGGTATCAAAAATTCCGATACTAAAAATACTACTATACTAAATACCTATTCGTACTCTTGTTAGAGTAACAGCAAGGGCAAAAAACTTGGACGTTAGTCAGTATGCGAAAACCCTTTAAGGGTTTAAACTGGTATACTTATATTAACCGGATAATAACTTGAAAAATGCATATGATTGTGCAGGAGTAGATTTTTAGGGGCATCGCAAGCGGGCGGCTATATATTCAATATACCGGCGGCGGTATATTGACTGTGCATGACCGAGTTTTATTGCATGATTTTTTTTTCATATGACAGCATAATTTTTATTCCTACTATGGCTCTACTGATACGCAAGTGATTGTACCGTATTCATTCTACCTGCATTTTAGCTGGTTCCGACGTGACAGTTCCGTCCATTATTAGACCGCTATCCATTTCCTTTTCGAGGAATCGAGTAAGCTTCTCGGCGTCATGTGCCTCGTCACTGCCGCTGGTTTCCACCAGCACATAAAACGGATAATCCGATATCGGATTTCTGGGGAAAGATAAAAAATATTACCTCATAGGTACCATGATTTTCCCCCGAATTAGTGTATATTGTGAAATATTTAGCCAGAATTATAAGACATTTCATTTACTTAATATAAGTAGATGTTTGAAACCAAAAATGTTATTAGGATAATTAACTTCTTTTAAACTACCTAGTCAAACACAAATGTGTCGATAAACCAGAAAGCAATATCACCCATTGTCATTAGATGGCGCAAACCATTGCTAAGAATGCAAGAAAAAAGTAAAAAGTCAAGCCAAGTGCCAGTCGGTTTCGCGTATGAAGGGTTCCGTGCTATTATCTATAACAACAGCAAAAAAGTCATGTCTGTTGTATGGGAGCCCCCCTTAAATATTTTTTTATTGTTTTTTAGTATTTTTTGTTATAGCGGCAACATAAATACATCATTTCTGAATATTTCAACTGTCTAACTATCATGGTTCATGAGATACAGGTGGTGACAGACGGACAGCGGAGTCTTAATAATAGGGTCCCGTTTTGCCCTTTGGGTACGGAACCCTAAAAAGACATGGAGATAACGCGTGCTGAGAATATCAACCGATTTGTTTAGTGATTAGCGTCTGGCGCGTTACCCGAATCTTGGCAGCTGCGAAAATTTTTTCGATAATTTAACTACACACTTTAAGTTTCACCAAAGTGCACACACTATCAATAAAAAATACATTCCTTTTAAAACATGAATAGCGCTTTATTTCTGTTTCATAAAAAAAAACACTTACGGAAGCTTTAAGTTTTTCACCGTAGAACTTATTGAGTCGTTGTCTGCCATTTCAAAAGCTGATAAAATTTCACCAAGGGATGATTTAGCGCTTGCGTATAAACGAAGTATATTATTGAAATTCTCGACCCCTGAAACACAAAGTCAGTGTCATATTAGGGGCTCAAAATTAAAGTACAGCGAAGAGCGGATAAAGACGCGCATCGTTGATGTCTTTTATTTTTTTTTTTACATTTCATCTTAGCAAAAATGTTTAATTATTTCATAGTTATTCAATTCTTGAATTTTGAATTTACCGACATTCACTTTTTGAACAAGAAGCGAACGAATTTTTCGACATGTGCTTAAAACCCAGGAAAGTTTATGTATATGTCTTGAATGGTTTTAACAAATTGTTTTGTTTTATGTAGCTGCTTTCCGATAACCATTGCCATAAAGTGAAATTAAAATTTTACCGAAGAATCCAACTGAAACCGCTTTTGGTAGCGCGGGACAATGGATAGCGACTTTCGTCACCACTCCTAGAGTCCCTTCAGAGCCAATGAACAAGTGCTTCAGGTGATACCCAGTGTTGTCCTTTTTGAGGGTTCTCAGGCAATCTATTACAGTCCCATCGGCTTTTACCTTGTATAGAAGAATAAATAAGTAAGAAGTTCTAAAAGGTTTTTGCTATTCTCTGTGCTTATTGCTCCGTTACCGTTTAAAAGATTTTCTCTCCGATTTAAATATTTTATTATTGTATATCACTTACCGCCTCAACTCCTAGCACCGAACCGTGGAGATTACCATAACGCAATAATCGAAGCCCACCAGCGTTTGTGCTAACGTTACCTCCGATTTGACACGAACCTTTTGCCCCTAGATCTAGAGGCATAATAAGCTTACGCTCTCTCACATAATTATCTAGATTCTCCAATACGCAACCCGTTTCACAAACTAAAACACCTATAAATTACAAATAAGTTTATTAGGCTATAAAAGGAGCTGACTTGGCGCTTGTTTTATAAATCAAAAGTAAATATTTTGTTAATTATCTACACCTACATGAAAGGAATTTCATAATACAAGTAATTTTTCAACATAACTTCTTCCAAAGTAAATCAATTCGAAATATATTCCAAAGATAATTGCGTAAAAAACTTGTATTCCAGAATGGTAAGTAAATGTTTTGTTGTCGTCTTTGCTTTTACTTTATTGTTGTACAATAAACAATATTTTCTTTTATTGATTCATTCTCAGAAATTACTATTATATCACAACTCGTTCTATTTTTAGAGCAGTACCCCTGTATTATAGAAATGTCTCTGAAAAAAACCTTACACCCGAGCGACCTGAATCATAACAATAATTATTTGAGATGATATTACCTAAAGTAAGGGTGATTAAAAAATACTAGTGAAGAAGAGGTTTTCATCGTAAATGCTACATAAATGCTCTTAACTATTTTTTGGTTCGGCAGGAGCCTTTTGTCAAATGCTTCGATTCTATTGATCTGACGAGAAAATTCTTTTCAGGTGGTTTGAGTATTTACACTTTATGTATTCAAAGTGTCATCAGTCATATAAGGTGCATGCTTGTTAGACCAGCTTATTTTAAATCGCGAAGTAACGATACCGACGGAACTTAGGAATAAATAACTGTAAATGGAAAAAATCTAATAACTATAAATGGGAAATAAATCTATTAGCATAACAGGACAACTTTGCTAACGATTATTTTAATCTACAGAGAGCGATTATACTGTAAAAATACAAACCTGATAATTCATCCAAACTGATTATTTTGTTCATAAGTCCAAAACTGAGGACTATTTCGTCAAAGACCGGGACCGACCCACCAACAAGGCCTGTATTACCGCCCTGCGGACATACTGCTAAACGTTTTTCGTTGCAGTATTTGAGAATAAAGGAAACTTCTTGTGTTGTCTTCGGTTTGAGAACCAATTTTGATTGGCCTGTAAGAGTATTAATAGGAAAAATAAAATAAGAATTTCTTTTACTCGCTCGATGTTTTAAATTTAATATACAACCTTCAACAGCTATCGATTTAAGAAAATTTTACATTGAACGAAAGAAAACTTTTTCTATGAACATGATAATACATAGGAATATTCAAACCTCGGCAATTTTTTATCCAATCTATATTGTACGGCAGGACATCGCTTTCTTCGGTCAATACACGGTCCGCACTTAAAATTTCCTTAAAGTAATCTATGTCCGACGACCGTATGTGCCCGAATAGCTTTCTTGTCACTTTATACTTTTCCTATAAAATACCAATATTAATAACGTTAAAGTTTAGCGATTAACAATCCATGTGTTTCTGTGCCTGATAATACATTCAGAATAATCGTATAATTCTTGAGATACAAAGTTCGCGGAATGAATGGGTTAAAAAAAGACAGGAACTGTTACGTACCTGTATCTAGGACTACTTGATGACTCAATTTTTCGTGAGGTGGCCGGAGCTCAATTTATAAAAAGGTTGTTAACACGTCTGCAACCCTCAGGTGTAGCAGATGTCCATGGGCGGCGGTATTCACTTAACATCAGGTGAGCCGCCTGCTCGTTTGGAAACTTTTCTCATAAGAAAATGTTATCGCCAAACCAACAAGTCAAGTGGGAAAAAATTTCAACTTTACCAAAAATTGAGTTTCGCACAGTTATAAAGTTTTTCACTAAGCATGCGGATGAACTCATGGCATGTCATCTGCTTACGGGGACTTTGCCTCGGCAAAACCATTTCGATTTACAAATCACGTAGCCTTTTCGCAAAGCAAGGCAAAGTCAATTGAAGACAATGACAGGTCAGCCGAATGAAACCACTTTCTCAGACTTTGTCGAAAAAGTGGAAACTCCGCCTTAAGACGCCTGTCTTCCGTGAGGTGTGGTACTTCCTCAGAAGGACCTACCCATTCGTGTTACAGCGAAAAGTGATACATGGCCCTACCACAGTTAATTTTCACATTTTTCTTGAGAGAATCAAATTAAGACAATGAATGTCGTAGGTGAATAGTCAATAACTTTTCCAAATGCTAAAACTAATATTTGAAACTTAAAAACTTTGCTTTAATAATACGATTAATAAAAATACAGCATGAATCTTTCAAGACAAAGAAATATGGATGTCTCCTCAATTCATTTAATACCCAATACTAACATACAATTATTTAAACGCATTACTTCGATAAGATAAAAAGGGGTAACAAAGCGAAAAAATGTGACATGTTAATGCCTATTAAATAGTCTGTCTACGAATCTGGATATTTTATATTGTTGTTAATAAAATTACTTGACATTTATATCTATAATTAAAATAAATTGTCATAAAAGTGAATGAAACTGTTTATTAACTATAATTAAGAGTAATTTTTTCATTATCACTTTGGACTATCATTGGTTTTTTTTTTAACTTGAAATGTAGATATCATAGTTGCCAGGCCGATTCACATGAATCGTGTAAGCTGCAAAGAAAAAGTAGGTATATTCTGATGAAATAAATATCTAAAACTTACTGAAGAAAGTTGCGGTAGAAGTTGTGATGCATATCTCACTTGTTTTACCACTTTAAACGATTTCAGATTTGTCATAAAAAAAGTTAGTGAATTTATCATTTCGAAACTGTCTATAATTATTGTACACAAATTAATACATTAAGAAATAATGTGTAACGCGATAAGCATGCGACCAACCGGTGCTAAAATAATTTCCAATTGCGTTGTTTTATGTTTGTTTATCAGCAGTGTTTATTGTGTTGGAATCAGTATGAATAAGATGAATTGCGTAATACTTTTCCGGGGTTGGAGGAAGGAGAAACAAAGATTATAAATGTAAACATGGATTCAGATTTAATCATTTATCTAGTCAACTTTTTCCAGCTTGCCGCTCGTAAGTTGGATAATGGGTATGCATAGTGTTAGGCTATGTATTTAGTGAACAGGATTATTCTTATTACAATTAACACTTGATATTCCGGTCAACTTAACTCATATAGCTCAAATGACATTTCTAGAGGTGTTAAAGTAACGAAAAAAAGCGTACCCGTATGTATTCGTTACTATAACTATTAGTACTCGTTACTGTAGTATGGTTACGTTACTCGTTACTTTTGATACCTACATGCTATGTTAGATATTTTTTGGCAATATTTGATATTTAACAGTTTTTGTTAACCAAGAAAAGCCATTTGACAGCTGATTAGTTGACAACTACGATGATCAGTGTTTCAGAAACCGGGTGTGAGAGAGAGAGAGAGTCGATGCGTGACCGGTGAGCGGTGAGTGGTGACCGAGTATAAGAGTATGTGGAGACCCGACGAATTACGGTGTTATTATTACTGACCGAACGAATTGGTTAAACTGTCAGTATAGATATTTTTGTTGTATACCAATCTATTAACGACGCAAAAAGGCGGGAGACTCGTGTTTATTGTGTATATAATAAATAGGTACATAATTATTTTTATCGGACAAGTTAAATTTTGTAAGATATTGTAGAGAAAATATAGTGGTGCTTGTACTTTTTAATTTTTAAATACTAATTGCATTTTTGTAAATTTTTATCGCATGCTGTGGATGGTTTTAGGAAGTTTCACACATTGCAAAACTGCAATTTATGTAATTTTTTCGTATTAAATTAAATATTTTTTATGTGACTAACATTATTCTTATTTTATTGTTTTGTTCTTGATCAACTCATTGCTATAAAGTATGGATTAATATTTTGATCCAGATTAAGTGTGCGTGTTTGTGTACGAGTGACTTTGTCGCGTTATTGTATCACTACTTTTAATGACGATTTTATAAATCGGCTGAATAACAAACAAACTTATATACATTCTAAACTTTAGAATTTTCCTTTTCTAATAAACCCTACGCAAGAAAAAGAAAGAGCTTGTGACAGTCAAAATGTTCAGTAACAAATGTGTAACAGTTTTTATCTCTTTCTAACTCAGGTAAAAGTCGTAAGCATGAATACACAAAAGCTTGTGACAGCGCGTTAAGAAACACTGTGTGGAACAGAAACTGTTATTTAATTTTTTTCATAACGCAGGGTAGGGTCATGTCGTGGTAGGGCCACGCAACACTGTTGCCCGAATGGGCAGGTCCGTCTGGGTAAGTACCACGACCTCACAGAAGACCGGCGTAAAGTAGAAGTGTTACACTTCTGCGTTTCGTCTTGTGAGTGAGGTAGTTGTCAACGCTTTTGCAACCATACAGGTGTTGTTGTGTTGCAAATGTCCATGGGCGGTGGTTATCGCTTAACATCAGGTGAACCGCCAGCTCGTTTGCCACTTTCTCACATAAAAAAAAATAACAGGTACAGTCTGTTATCTCAAGATGCCTATTATATCTACCTGTTACGATAAATTATTAGAGACATGTTATAAAACATAGCTTTTACCGATTTATACAACTATAACTCAACATTGACTAGATAATTGGATAACAATAGTGTTGATTGGTAATCTCAGATTATACATACTCTTTTGATGTAAACTCTAACCTGTTTGATTTATGTATTGTTTGAATTACTTTAAATTTGGTATGTTAGTTTTATTTGTTCAGACTGAATTGTGTCCTATTTGATTAATTCCGTTAAAATCGTTTGTAGAAGTAACATGTCTAGCTATCTGACATAACTCTTGTATTTTATATAAATTTCATAATGATTAGGTTTAGTCTAAAATAAGTTCAAAATGTTAAAGTTGAAATAAATAGTTTTCCTATCAGTCCTTAAATGTCTTTTTGGCTTGAAAGCGATCCCATTAGCCACATCTACCATTCAAGAAATAGTACTTAGCTTTTCCAACAGAGCAACAGCCTTAACAACCAATAACCAAAAACTAACCCGCGTACGTTGTGAGAGTTGAATTTATACCCCTCAAAAACAAATACTATTCACCCCTCCATTCTAGGGTGTAGGAAATATCACGACGCAATAGGTATCAAACCGACAACTTTAAAATAAGTGATAAATTATTAATTACATTATATATGTGCCATAATTATAACAAAATACGCTTCACGCTATAGACTGCGTTTCTCTCCCGTGATAGCCTTTTGTTTCTCCCGCTTCCTTTACTACGATCATTCGAAATAACATACACGCTATTTATTCATCAACATCGTCATTTAAATCATATTCGGCATATTAAATATGTTTAATGTCATTGGAGGCTTGGATATCCCATAGGATGATTACATTAACATTAACCGGTACCCGGTAACCGTATATATAATGTATCAGTATAAATAATCTACTCTGTGCCGGTAACGGCAAAGCACGGATGCCAACTTAGAAATGTTCTTCCTAAATTTAGGAAGAAAGTTTTTAGGAGGTAAATTTTCGCTACATTTGTAATTTTTAATTTGAATTGATTCAATTTTAGTGGATATTTATGGGATTGTGAATTGCTTTTGAAGTATTTTTTTTAAACAGTTGGTAGCACTCCCGCGAAGAACGGTTTTATTAAAGTGACATTGACAATGACAACAGAGACGTTGGTATTGTAGGTTAGAATTCTTAAAAGTTTGTGTATCCACGTGCGATTAGTCACTGCGTTGCCTATAATAACAATGGGTAAAACAAAATTAAAAAAGAATAAAAAGGTAGATCCAAAGCCGAAAGAAACGTCCAAGGAAGACGACAATATGTTAGTACTTCCGCCAGTACGAATGTCAGATGATCCAACGCCAAGACAGGTACTTTTAAGGTTCATTTTATTTTAAAATGGATATCAAGCATACGGTCTTAGTTTTGGTAATTGATTACATCCGCCTATGATGTACCAACGGTTCATTTATGCAACAAAAGACCCTGCAATGAGGATTCGCCGTAGAAATACAAGTAGTTCTATTTATTAATTTTTTTTATGTGAAAAGTGCCAAGCGAGCAGACGGTTCACCTGATGTTAAGTGAATAACGCCGCCCATGGACATCTGGACCTTTAGAAAATTGGGCTTCGGCCACCTCACTCACCAGACGAAACGCGAGTGTTATACTTCCACTTTACGCCGGTCTTCGGTGAGATCGTGTTGCTTACCCGGACGAGCCTGCCCATTCGTGCAACAGCCGAGACTGCTGCGTGGCCCTACCACCGTGAAATTTATACTATTAAACTATTTCATCTTCCTCCTTAAGATTGCAGATGGGAGTGTTTAACATTGTTATTATCTAATGTTTTAGATCAAATGGATAAATCGTCAGCGAGTGCTGGTTTTTGCTGCTCGTGGAATAAACCATCGCCACAGACATTTAATGGAGGATTTAAAGAAGTTAATGCCCCATCATAAAAGTGAATCCAAAATGGAAAGAAGTAAAAATTTATATGTTGTTAACGAAATTAGTGAAATGAAAAATTGTAATAAGTGTCTCCTTTTCGAAGGAAGAAAGATGCGTGATTTATATCTTTGGATGTCAAATGTCCCCAATGGACCATGTGCAAAATTTTTAGTAGAAAATGGTATGTAATAGATATTGTTACTGTATAGTTTAATTGACAATATTATTTGTTAAGTATTAATTGCCAATTAATAATAAAGATAAAAAAATATGAACATTAATTGAAGAATTTATTTTCAGTTTATACTATGGGTGAACTTAAAATGACAGGAAATTGTTTGAGAGGTTCTAGACCCCTTTTGTCTTTTGATCCTCAGTTTACAAAAGATGCTCATTACTGTCTATTAAAAGAACTGTTTATTCAGATATTTGGAGTACCTAAAAACCATCCAAAAAGTCAGCCATTCTTTGACCATGTTTACACATTTATGATTCTTGATAATAGAATTTGGTTTAGGAATTACCAAATACTTTCTGAAGATGGAGCTTTGGCTGAAATAGGACCTCGATTTGTATTAAATCCAGTGAGTATACAGAGTCCATTTTACCCCAGCTTGTGAATACAACCCTAAAATTATATATTTAATAACAATAAGTTTGCTTAAAAGAACCATAGATAGGTAAAAAGTTTCTAATTAACTTTTTTCTTGAAAATATTTATACTTATAAAGTTACTGTAAATGTAAGTTAGCAGTAAATGTTATTCTGGTCAGCATTTTTACTGTAATTCTTCCACAGTATTCTCATTATACTATTTGATATAAGTTGTATAATAAATTTATAATTATAACAGGTTAAAATATTTTCTGGATCATTTGGAGGAGCCACATTATGGGAAAATCCAAAATATATCAGTCCAGCCAAACTAAGACAAGCTTTTTCAAAGAAAGCTGGTAATAAATATGAAAGGAGAATAGAGAAAAAAGTAATGAACGAAGCTACTAGACCAGAAACTGGATATCCAGATATTGAAGGAGCAGATTTCTTTAAAGGTGATCCCCTTGAAAAGGCTCAAGATGTTGTAAAAGGTATGTACGCATCAGTAGAAAAACCATAGAAAAAGATTTAATAATGAAATTTTAACTGTGGTAAGACCATGTAATGGTCTCCGTTTGAATGGGTCTGTCCAGGAATGTACTACAACCTCACAGAAGACTGGCATGAAGTGTAAGTGTTATAATTCTGCATTACGTCAGGTGAGTGAGGTAGCCAGGGCCCACTTTATTAAAAAGTGATAATGCAGCCATAAGAGGGTTGCACATGATTGACATTTGCAATACCCATAGGGTTATATATAGGTTGGTGGTTATCACTTAACATCAGGTAAACTATCAGCTTGCTTTTCATCTTCTGACATAAAAAAAATGTTTATACTGATGTATGTATCTAAGAAGTTATACATATTTACCATAACGAAAGCAAAGTAAGTTTAAATTTCATCCCGTGCCAGTACATTGTGGATGGGGTTGCATAGTACACCAACAGCCACTGCAACCTAGTAGATATTATTTTGTAGTCTTCCCTTCGAAAACATTGCCCTCTTATGGTAGGATAACATTATCCTGTGTTGTATGTACATTTCACATGGACCAACACCCAGACCCAAAACAATTATCTGTGGGTCACACAAAAATTGTTATCTCATGTGAAAATCCCAAAAAACACAATCCCTCCACATCAAAGCCAATGCCTTGGCAATACCGCCACAGAGACATCAAAATGTTCAATGTTGCTCTAAGACTTAAGGCGCTGTATGCAGTAAAAATAGGTTTTTCAAAAGATTTTTTAACAAAATCTATACATTTTATAGAAGCAAAAAAAATATATGTTAATCTTGATCTTACATTCTAATGGACCATTGTTTTCAAAACATATTCTCAATATATTTTTTTCGATAGAAAAAAATCACGAACCTCTAAATGTGGAATTTAAATAAAAAAATAGATATAATAAATGAAAAAATCTTAATGAAATTAATATCAGTAGTGTAGAATATATTAATAAAAAGGTCTATTGTCTTGTTTTTGATTGAAGTAAGATATTTGTAAATATTAATTTAATTCATTAAAATTAATTCGAACGCGATGGCCAAAACACCGCGCCACCGCGGCGTTGTTTCGGTTCTCTTCCAACTCCACACGTTGAACAGAGAGCGCTGAGGCGCCTTGCTAGATGGACCTGTGCCGCTCATCGCCCGCTCACCGTTACGAAATATGTTTCGTATTTATTTATTATTTAGAGATTTAATTTTATTAGACCTTCGAAAACACGAAACTAAGAAATATATATTCACATATTTCTTATTTATAAATTATTTGTATGTATTAACAGTTGTTAATTAATTTATTTAAAGCATACTTTCAATGTCTTATCTCGTATTGATTGGTCTATCAGTCCTATACATACAGTGTATAGGACCATCATTCTTTATGGATTGGGTTCAAATACCTAAATTTTTTGTTGTACTTATTGTTGATTTTCTTATTTGGGAGTATTTCTTAATTACCATTTAATTATTGTTGATTTTATTATTTTCATAAATAATTACAACGAAATATTATTGTATTTGTTCAAAGTTGAAACAGTTGGAGAACAATCTATTCAGTAAATAAACCAACTTGAAGTATTAAAATTTTTTAACGTCATTTATTTTTTTATTAATTTATTTAATTGTTCACCCTAAAACGAAAATTTATCGTGTACACGAAATATAATTATTTTATAATTTTTTTTATAATTTGTTTATTTCCCAAATTGAGCCATTTTAAGAAATAAAAATAAAATAATTAGTTGGCAAACAAATTAAAAGTAAAAATAATATAAAAAATACAACTACACTCGATGAGTGGTTTGAACTTGGGACTACAGCAATAGTTTACCGTTGTGTATGACGCTCGGACTAACAGGCTACGCGAGGTCTGTGCAAAATAATTACAGCAATTATCGATACAAATAATTGATTATGATGACTCCGTGGCGCAGTTGCCAAGTGGCTTCGGCGTCGGGGGTCGTGGGTTCGATTCCCACACGGGACAACTATTTGTGTGACCCACAGATAGTTGTTTCGCATCTGGGTGTTTGTCCGCGTGAAATTTATGTTTGTAAAACGTCCTTTACAACACAGGATAATATTATCCTAAAGTAAGGGCAGTGTTTTTTAAAACAAACAAAGAAAAACAAAGAAATAAGGATTTTATCAATAGTTTTTTAAATTTCATTTTAGTTCAAATAGTAATATAACATAGTAAGTCTTGAACAATGAAAGGATAAATTAAAATTCCTAATATATAAAAAAAATTATAAAAAAAAGTTGTATTCGTGATTTCTGCAAAAATTTATGAGCCATTTCTTTAAAATCACAATATAACCCATAAAACCAAAAAATAATAATTATAAGTAATTTGCCTTTATTAATTTATTTGACTTTAAGATGTATTTTTAATCAATTCCTTTTCCATTTTATTAAAAAAATAATAATAAACAGGAAGATTTTCTAAAATTGTTGATTGCTTTCTCATACTTTATATTTGTTTGTTTATTATTATTCCTATTATAATATAAAAGTAAAATACAATCATGGTCTATAAAAGATATTATAGGGATCATCTGTGTACGTTTTCGAAAGCCTTCCATGATACTATCGATAGTATCCTACAGTCCATCACTACACACACTAAGCAATGAATGACGCGGTCTAGCGGCGCGTTGACGAAATTCGCGCGTTGCGCGCCGCTAAGCGGCGTTACCCCTCCTCCGCTTCCTCATACTTCACCACCAAAATTGTTAAAAATTCACTGCATACAGCGCCTTACGTCTTAGAGCAACATTGAACATTTTGATGTCTAAAATATTTCTCTTAGTCTAAGAGAAATATTTTTATATTGTTATAGACTATTTCAATGTTTCTAATAGCTCGGTTTTCAACACCTGGATGAAATAAATTATAAATAAACATTAACAAGAAATTTATTTTATCATAAAATTCCACTTCATGTAATAAATTTTTCTTCTCTATGTTTTATGTCTTATAAAATGAGTAGAGAAAGCCTTTTGCCTCGTCCATACAGATAAATAAAATTGGGGTGTCTGTTTGTAGTTATAAAATAACCACTTTTTATTAAATATATACATATACCAAAATAACACTTTTTACAATTTTTGTCTGTCTGTTAGTTCCGGATAATCTCAACCGCAACAACTGATTTTGATGTAACCTTCACTGGCAGCTAGCTGATTTAATAAGGAGTAACTTAGGCTACTTTCATGTTAGAAATTTTATTTACAGGGTGGCTTTTCTAAAGGTGCCCAAATTTTCACAGGAGGTTCAGAATCGGTAGTATAATCGTTTTACAAACATTCACGTGGACAAACACCCAGATGCGAAATAACTATTTGTGGGTCACACAAATAGTTGTCCCATGTGAGAATCGTACGCACGACCCCCGACGCCGAAGCCGATATCTTGGCCACTGCGCCAGGGAGTCATCATACATCTTTTAAAGCAATATTTCTGATTATAAAATAGTTTTATTTTTAATTTACAGAAGAAGAAAATAATTCTGATACTGATGATGATACAAGTGAAAATGAGGTTCCAATAGTTGCAAAACCGAAGCATAAATTTAGTATGATGCTTACTAAAAAGAAACCAGAAAAGGTTATACGACGTAAACAGTTGAAAGCAAAAAGCAAGGCTATATCGGATCAAATCAAGAAACGAAAACAATTCAAGAAAAAGACAATGAAATAAAAAATACCAATTTTTTACACTTGTATTTTATTTATTAATAAAAGAACAAAATGAGTCATAAAATTTCTTTTTATGTGTAACTATGGAAGTAGTGTGAGGTAGAAAATATTTTTTAAATTTATATTACTCCACATTGTGGTCGACAAAATATGAATTGACAAAAAATATTTAAATTTAAGAATGTTTACATTGACAATGTTTATTTATATAAAAATTTTATTCATCCCTTAAATACTAAATTTCCATTACACAAAATTAATGAAAACCAAAATATGTTTTCTCGAAATTATTAAAACCTTGTCACTACTAAACATTTACGTCAACAGAAAACATTAAATTAACAGCTAAATCTGTTTTTTCACAAGCAATGAATTTGATACATGTACTCTTTTAATATTTCATTGTTTATGGTATTGATATGTTACCTTTAGTTACACAGCACAAGTTTCATATACTACAAAACTATTTTAATAAATGGACGGCAGATAAGCTATTTAAAACATTATAGCAGAAATACACTCTGTAGAGTGCAGGTACTAAAAATTACTCTTCATAATTTATAGCCTCAACCTTTAATACTTGTAGATCAGTATTCTGAATTCTATACAAAAATGATCTCTAAATTTATCAATTTGATTTATATACTCTTTATAAAAACTTAAAATAGTTCTTACTGCATTTAAAATAATAATTTTCGTCAAGGCGCAATCAGGCGATAGGTGAAGTTGGTGCATAATGATAATTGAATGAATAATAAAATATTTTGTCCCACATATTATTATCAGTATTATTTTGTCATTTATCATTATTTAAAAATAAATAATAAAATACAATGATCCGATTGTTTCATCATTATGCTGTTTTTGTGACTTGTTAATTCTTAACGGATATGACACTTCATGCAATATGCTTAACAAATTAATGATGGTATGTTGAAATAATACCTATGAAATTGCCGTTCTTCAGTACTGGCCATTTCAAAAAAAATAGTTTGATTGGCTGTGAATTGTAAATTCACAGTAATTTTGTTTTAAAAACTTGAAATTGTTTTCCCCCTAAGACTGACTCCCTAGTCAATCTTTTGTTTATTGATTAGCTTTGTATTTTTTTATAATGGATATTTTAAAAATTCTTGTAATCATGGAATATGATATCCGTCGTGGCACCAACACGGCACAAGCGAAACGTAATATCAAAAACGTTTACGCAAAGAACTTTGAAAACTTAGATTCATAAATCTAATCCTATCTATACACGGTTTTAGGAATGATACGACGATATCATAGGTTTCAATATAATTCGGTATTGTGGTTATTTTATTGGTGTTATTTCTGTATATATTCTGTAAATTTATCTCATATTGTTTAAAGTAGATATTCGGGGTTGGAAGGGAAATTCACAATGTATTCGGCTTTCTTCTTTTTATAACTAACTTTAGAATATAATTAAAGAATATTTGATGGAAAGATATTATTGTTGATTTATTAAGTTAAGGTTTTTAAGACCAGTGAGTCCTACAAGGTAAAGCGTACGTTTTAAAAATTTTAAGCTTTTCTTTTTCGTTTTATTGCAAAGTTTGGAATATTCACGTTAAAACCTTTAGTACATAATCTAATTATTAGTTGTTTTATTCCCGCCAACTATGATCATATAATGTGCACTATGTTATTATGTACACTAGTATTTTTTTTAAAGTCCATAAAAACATCCCATAACGACCATAACAAAACAAATCTTTCCTACGAGGAAAATTAAGCAAAACTTTCTTACGCAATTATTCCGACACAAGCATACATAATATATGTACGTATTTAACTAAAACTATTACGTGCTTAAGAACCAATGCACTCTAGCTCAAGGCTAAATAAACATGATTAGTATTTATCTGAAACAGTTTTTTTTGCATGCCTATCGTCATTTCGCATGCACATTCAAAATCACTTTGCTTAGGTTTGATGCCTCCCGTCCAGCTGATTTGTATAAGAATGAACTACCACGGAGTTGGTAAAGACGCATCGATTGCATGGGTGACTACTAAATAAATAAAAACGGTAATTTCATAGGTATACTGGAGCAATAGGTAAACCTAATATTTATTATCATATGTTTAGTTTGTAGTTTTTAAAAACATATGGCGAAATATGAGCTAATACTTATAAACTAAAATATGTAAGAACTTAGACTACGTTTTTACTTTTAAAGCAGTATGTTATTACGCGTGTTGTAAAATAAAAGATTCAAAAAATATTCGGATCAAAAAATAAAGTTGATTCATGAAGACTTTTCTTATGAAAGACATTAGTAATTTTTAAATACTAATAATATTTATTACGACATATAAAGTCACATTTGATACTTATGCATGAGGATACATGGATAACATCAGTTGTTTTATATATACGGGGTGGACGAAATGGACACCCTATTAGAAATTCTTGCCTTACCGTCTCAATACAATAACTTTTTCACGAGCAGTTCAAAACTATACGCTGAACGCATAATTACTAAACTGCTTATCAATAGGGTGACCACTCTCAACGGGATAAACAAACAATGTTTAGATTGACATTTTTCTGGTAATTTCTTGTCAAAATAATATTTTTTTTTTTTGAGTTGTGGAATATTAGTATTAATCTGGCATTATTTAAAAAAGATATAATAAAACACTCACGCAAAGGGCATGAAACTTAATGCTTAACAAATCAACGACGTTACGTCGAACTAATATAATTTATGTTTGTACTTCGTAAAAAAACAAAGGGCAAAAATGAGCCAATACTTATGAACTAATGCATGTAAAAAATTGTAAAAACCGAAATTACATCACTAATTAAAACATACAATTAATATTCCGCGTGTCATAAAATAAAAAAATAATTGATTAAAAAGAGTTGATTTTAAATGCTAAAAATAAATATTAATAAATCATAATCGGTTTGCATCACAGATCTTTTTTGAGATAATATACATAAATCCTATTATGTATAATGTAACTATAATTCTATCAGATCTGATATTTGTAATTTTCAACATTTATCATGTAGTACTGTTTGTATGATGCGAAATTTTACCTGAAATAAAATTACTTACAGTTAGTTTAAAAGACCTGTGAAATGCTTGTACATATGGAATACATACTATAAAATCAAGTTAATATGACATGCAGAAAAGGGTACAAGTTTTGTCGTTCCAATTGGCGTGGATAGTCGACCAGCCTCCTGCGCCAGACAGTGTGGGTTCGGTCCCTACTACTGGATAATTATTGTGTGATGACTATAGTATTTTTGAAGTGTCTGGGTGTTTATAATATGTCTATAATCTGTATTTATTTACAAAATTATATTTAAGTATGTTTATCAATTACCTACAGCATTAGTTCAAGTTAGCATGACTTGGAATACCACCAAATTTCAAACCAATCGTATCTGTGAAAGTTAATAAGACTCTTTTGTCTGGTAGGAAATGAACTGATTATTATTAGTTATTATTAATCACTACCACACTGTGTTAGGATCACACTTACTAAAGAAGTTTAAGGTCCCCTCTGCCGGCAAACACATGGCATTTATCTCCATGTTTTGGAATTCTAAGGGAACCTAACTGATTGAGTACGCAAAGAAAGGCCAATGAATTACTGCGGCATCTTACGCAAACAAACTACGTAATATAGAGGAGGCAATAAAAGAAAAAAGATGTTAAAAATTGGTGGCAGCTGCCTTGCTTCTTCACGACAACGCGCCGGTTAACAGCAGCCTTGGCAAGGAGCCGGATTTCGAATTTGAAGTAATCAAATATCCACCATACCACCCTACCCCTAGTGATTACTTTCTGTTCGCCAAAATCAAGAAAGATCTTCGACGTAAGCATTTTTACGACGATAAAGTGTTGACGGCGGCAATTGATGAACATGCAAGAACTACAGGTGTATCAAATAAGCGTCGATGAGACATACGTTTCATCTAGGGCGTCCTCTACTGACTTTAAAAAGCCACTTTTTTATATACTTTAAATAGTTATTGCCGTTTTTCATAATCACCTGAAACTTCAAATTCAGGAAACAAAGCAAATTTCAAATTGGAAATTTTTATTTAGTTTTAATAATAATAAATATTTCAGGACATTTTTACGTTCACATTTATTTCACATAAGTTTTCTAACGTTACTAGATAACTGATAAACATACTTTTGTTTTTTTTTTAAATAAATACATGTTATACATAATATGTAAACAGTCAGACACTGGAAAAACACTATGTTCACCAAACAATATTTTCCAGTAGTGGGGATCGAACGCACATGTTCTGGCGCAAGAGGCAGGGTCACTACCTATTAGGCCAATCGGGTCGTTTGCATTACTATCATCCGTACTCACATCATCTTCATACTATTAACGACCGCCATTATTTAACAAGTCTAAGGTATCATTTAACGCTTCTACAATGCATAATGTTCATCTATATAAGCATTTAAATACGAAAACAGGTACAACATGCATAAAACTCACGAATTCAGTACTTTTCCTGTAGGTCTTGGAGTTCTGCGCCATCGTGTTCATTCTCACGATTACCAGATTTATGGCCTCCGAGTTCGGCCAGCCTTGAATTTTTCCATCTCCCATCTGATCCATTCATATTGCGGTCTTCGCAAACACATAAAAATAGCGAATCGACAACCATCTGTGAATACAGTATTGTTATTGCGATGTTTTTGTATATTTAATAAATTCATATTTACACTAACAGCTTGTACATTAATGTGTACATTCGAAAATATATTAGAGCATACTACGACACTCACACCCAGTTTCCGAAAGCGCAATCAATTTTAATTTACGATAAATCTCTTGTCAATCTTTGTTTAACATGATCTGAGTTGCTAGAACGTCTGAAAACAACATTGATTTTGATTTGCAATTAGTCACTGATTAACGGCCAATCAACAGAAAATCGAGTTTCTGAAAGCGTTTTTCGGTGGTCAACGAGCTGTCAAAAGTTTTATTAAGTAATTTGTCAATCGTTGGTTAAAAATGTATTTTATCAAAAATTTTAGTTTTTATTAGAAATAAACATAATTCCTTAATACGTTGTAAGGAAATTCATGTGTTCTATTACCTATTTATTATTATGCGAACATATCATGCGATTAGAAAAAATAGAAAATGCAATTCAAAAGTTAATAAATAATATGGATTCTTTCTTTTTATAATACTTACTTGTTTATTATGAACAAAAGTTCATTTTTTTCACGTTCTGTAATGTTTTTTCTTGACATTTTGCATGTATTTATATAAATTAAATTTTATTATAGCTCGGATTTTTACGTTGGCAATCACACGGTGACAGGATTGGATAGTGACGTTAATTTAATTTTTGTTTAAAAAGGGACAGCTATACAATAGAAAGAGTTAGTTGAAGTAAATCATTCATTTCATTCATTATCGTTGGTTATACAGTGATTAGCTAATTTTTCTTGAACAAACCTTCCAGAAACCCAAGGCAGTTTAACAGCTGATCATTTTTGACATAGTGTTATGTGATTGCTGCTTTGATTGGCCTTTCGGAAACTGGGCATCAATCAGTTTGAATTGTTTTTTTTTTGAAGCGACTTTCTCGTGTAGCTATAACCGGCGTCAAGTGGCAGAAATATAAGTGGGTCACACTGAAAGTTTTTAGAAAATCATAAAACGTGGAGCCGTTTTTTGTTGTTCGCAGTGGTCTCCGTTCGTCTCTACATCTTTGCATTCGATGGAACCACTGATAAAAGCAGTGGGTATGTCTTTTAGTTTCTGGTTCGTAGCAATATATCCAGCTTTCATCATCTGTGACGGTGTCAAATACATCAATAGAGACACCTTTACGGTGGTAGGGCCACGCAGCAGCCTCGGCTGTTGCATGAATAGGCAGGCCCGTCCGGGTAAGTACCACGACCTCACAGAAGACCAGCGTAAAGTGGAAGTATGACAAATACTTTCGCGTTTCGTCTGGTGAGTGAGGTAGCCGGAGCCCAATTTTCAAAAGGTTGTCAACGCATTTGTCTTGTATCTTGTATTAACTGATGTTTTTGCTTTCAGTCCCGAGACTATTAAAGCTTCATCTGACGCAGAACCGGTGGGCTAGCCAGAACCCACGGGTTTGGGCCCTCCGCTGTGGGTAGGGCCACGCATGTGCTCATGCGTGCCTTTAACTATGGTGTGTCATCTAAGGGCCATCGAGGTCGTGGTTCGGACCGAAACCCCGATGGCCGGACACGCATCTGTAACCCTCGGGTGTGGCAGATGTCCATGGGCGGCGGTATTCACTTAACATCAGTTAAACAAACACAAATTTCACTCATTAATCATCATGATCATCACTGTATTCGTTGATGCCGTGTCCCAAAGTACTAAAGTAGAATAAAAATGTTTAGATATTTAAGGCGATTTCTTCGTACTCTAGTTTAGATTCAAAAGTCTGAAAGTGTGAGCCTGATCAAACTGAACATAGGACTCCCCCACAAACTGCCACGAAGCGCGCTCCTGGGCAAACTGAATTCATCGACTTCCTGCACATTAGCACAGACTTTTCCGATCAAGCATGTCACGAATATGGCTTAAAAAACTTTAAAACTTGCCACTCTTTCAAATATTCGAAGCAGTCAAATCATTACAGTACAAATCAATTAGTACGATTTCACTGTTAGCAACAGATTTCATTGTAGTGTGTTAAAAGTGAGGTAGCCGGAGCCCAATTTTCAAAAGGTTGTCAACGCGTCTGTAATCCTCGGGTGTAGCAGATGTCCATCAGCGGAGGTATTCACTTACCAACAGGTGAACAGTCTGCTCGTTTGGCAACTTTTCACAAAAAAAAAATTAAAAAATGAGAACAAACCTCATATAGAGAAAGGATGCAGTGAGCGATGAAGAATGAGTAAATGCATATCACGAGCGTGGGTACGGCGAAGAAGTGCAAGTCCGAGTTGCGTTTTAGCAGCAACAGGCCTATTATGCCGGTCACTGCAGTCACTATGCACTTGCCCAAGAACAGTATGAAGTCGCCCACGCTGTTGATTGTGGCCACTTGCAACGCGTTATTCACAATTGTGCTAAACGCCTGTAACAATACACTCGACTGATTTCATCTTGTCATTAACGTAACATTAATGATTTCTTGGTTGTTCAATCAAATGTACTCGTTTTTGTCTAGCGTAAGATAAAACAAATCTTAATACCATGTAATTGTTTTGAAAATCACATTAATAATTTATTTTACGGTTTACTGAATGTTGAAATGAATTCAAGAAATAATCCTGTATATTGGACTGCACATGAACAAACACGCAGATGCGAAACAACTACCTGTGGGTTGCACAAATAGTTCTCCCGTGTGGGAATCGACCCCACGACCCCCGACACCGAAGCCATAAGGACTCCGTAGCGCTACGGAGTCATTTATCGATATTATTGATGCAATAATAAGTTTAGATTTCTAACGTAAAACCTAAAAGCCCTCTATACAGATCGCGGCGACATCTTACTAGACGTTGGTGAATAATTATTCACTCACACAAAAGGTACGGTATTTAAACTACCGAGAGTAGTGGTAAAAGACTATGTCAACTGATCTTGATAACCATGTCATAACACTGCTTAAAATTAAAACAGATATTGCTAATGCTCTCCTGATTATTCAGAAGTTGTATATAAGAAGTTAGTTACTTAGGCCCATCAGAGTGAACTTTAGCAAAAAAAAAGATATGAAAAGACTGATGTAAAACAAAATGTTTCAGCTATACATCTCACCCTTGCAGCAGCTTTGCAAAAATGGCATCTCTCTATAGTAATTATTGTATAGGCATTATGGTTCAGATAGCGTATAAATTTTTCAAGGCAATAGAAGCAGCAAATTCCACATTTGAGTCCACACTTTGCACAATCTGAGCCTTTCTCAGCTCTTGAAGACAGTCTGAAAAGTTAGTTTAATGTAGCTTAAGAAGTTATTGAACCCAAATAAATTTGGTACTATTAATGTAACATCTCTTGAAAATTGGAGCATGTAAGCATTGTCTTAAATAGTGCACATATACAATTTCTTCAACTTAATAATTGTTTCTATATTGTTTATGGTTATGGTTATGGTTAAGCCTTTATTTTCATTTCTATTTATGTAATATTTTACAATGTATAGTAAAAATATTTTTCAAATAATTTGAGGTGACATAATTATGTGATTTATTGTTCACGTGTCGATGAAGAGCTGAATAAATGGGTCTAATTACCATTGACCTTTTATGTAATATTCTTAGTAACCTTTTTTACATAAATTAATATTAACAAAAACTCAATAATTTATATAAATAACCAAAGCATTGTTAAATATTTTTAATTGTTTGTTTCCATAAATAAAAAGAGAAACATATATCTGTATTTCCTTCATTTTTTATTTGCTATAATGAAATGTTATAATTCAGAACAGATGATTATCCAATTAATTCACCGATTCTTAGAAAAATAAGTGTAGGTAGAAGTACAATTATCATAATGTTTCACTAACCGTGTGTTGCATGAGTCATGAATGTGGGTTGGTTATGTAGAATAATAAACAAAGTTAATTTATGTGAATCATATTTAAAATTAGAATGTTATGAAATTCTTTTGAATTACTTTTTATAAAATAAGTAATAGTAACTTTTGAAAACAATAATTGAACTTACTTTGCATGTAAATATGTTAGAATAAGTCGAGGTATTTTAAATAATGTTATTAAAAATGACCCTTTGGCGACGGAACCCAAATGATATTTTAAAAGTTTCCCGATTGAGTAAAGGACTGGGGATGGATGGGCATTTGACCCTCTGAAAAAATATTGCATTGTTAAGTTTGAATAAGAATAATTAAATTAATTTTCAAAATAAATCTTAAATACTGTTAAATTCTTGAGAATATTATCAAAAAAGTTAAAAGTAGTTTATGAAGGTTACCTGAAATACCAATGTGAGACTGCACCTGCAATGGTCATCTGCTGACAGCCTAGAATAAACTCACTACCCCAGATGAGGCATATAAGACACATCCACCACATGCTCTTCACCCACATTGGATCAAATTCTACTGGATCTAGAATGTAAGCTACAACAATAATATCTCCTGTGATTGACCATCAATAGTGCAGCCATAATGTCATATGCCGTGCAGTTGTTACATTATCTTAAACAGCATTTACAGTTTATTGGAATATAAATTTGCTATGGTAAAGTATTCAACAGATAAATAACATTTAAACAGGTTTGAATTTCATAACTTTTTTTTAAAGTGATGTCAGATTTTTTAAATTTTAATGACAGGGTAATGAGTTCCTTACCCTACATTTTCCAAAGCCTGAGTATTTTAGAAGCTTTTAAATACTAACTGCAGCATTTGTTACAAAACTACTCACATTTTAAATTTGTACTCTTGTTAATATTTTGTGCTTGTATAGCAGCATTGTCTACACGGTGCTGAGGTGTTCCATTGATGAAAAAATTTGTCTTAAATGGTATTCCAGGGTAGTTAGCAGTAGCTAGGCATACCTGAAAATTTTATTTTTAGTTAAAATTTAACAATTTTAATGCACAATTTTTTAAATGCCTTAAAAAACATAGGCCACTTACCACAACTAGTGACCAAAATGTAAAGAACAATATAAGAAAAAAGAATGTTATGATTGGTTGTAAAAACAGGGCTGGAATTGATCCAAGACAATGTGCTGTTTCCTTAAACAGAGCAGCCAAAAAAGATACACGAGAACGCATCACCCATACTAACAATAACAAAATAATCTGTGGATATTACAAAAATATGGTTAATTAATAAACAAGTAAGAGCTCAATAACGAAATTACGAATTTGTACTAACTGTTATAATAGTGGCAATAATTGAATACCACAAAAATGCCGTCTCATTTTTTAAGGATTCCTAAAAAAAAATAATTAATGTATAACTTGAATTACATTGAAGAAGTTAAAATATGTATGTATATAAAATATAATCAAAATGCATACCGATAAAAATAATGTTTCTGAAAAATCTTTCTTTTTTGTATGTAGTTCATGATAAGTGTACCAAAGGAGTGCCGTTCCTGCTATACTAACAACGGACACAATGATCATAAATATCCATGATACAAGGGTAGCCAGCAGATGCAGAATGGACACCATAATTAACGAACATACTGTAATATATAGTAATTTTCGTAAATTTAGTATTTATTTAAATTAAAGTAAATGTCATGATTGTCAAGATATATAAACTTAATTGCAATTATTCATAAGTTTACTCACTAAATGCTATTATAACACATATAATCATCTCTTTCCAGGAAGAATACAGATCTGACAACATTTGCTCAATAGTATCCCAACTATTAAGCAAGTCATAAAAATCGTTGAAAACCTTCTGTGCTATATCCTTTGCTGATTTAGGGAAACACCTATTTAATAAGGGAAATGAATCATATACTGGTAATGTTGGACAAGGTCCTGTTAGACTGTGCAGATTTTCTGTGCTTGTTATATTATTCAAATTTATGTTATAAAGGCAAAGGTTTGATCCAGTTTCTCTATAAAAGTACTGAATGTCAGAAAGGGACTCCATTTTTTTATTAGGACATTTCTTAACACATATTTTTATGGAGCGCCTAAGTTCCTTTATATCCATAAAGTATAAATAACTTTTGTCAGCGGTGCTAATGCCAGCTAGCGGAAATTCAATTAACTTTTTATTGCTTTTAACTCCACATGTGTTTCCAAAGGAATCATATCCATTTATAAGCCTCTGCGGATTTCCATACACAAATGATATACATGCAATTATTATCTGAAAAATAAAATGAAACAAAAATTCAATGGAAATAGTGATTACCGCCAATAATAAACATATTTTTAAATCATTACTGACAAATTTATTTAATCTAAAATTTTAATTATTTCACGAACATACCATTAAGATCCAAAAAATAACATAAATAACGAGCCATAAAACATCAGTACATCCTTTTCTGGGAGTTTCATTTTGTGGAGAAATTTCACTCTGTGCACAGCCCATTTTGTTGTATTTGTAAGAGCTATGAGGAGTTTCATTAACAGAAAACAACGAACACTATTATTAAGCTTCACAATAAACAAATAGGATCCATCAGTCTGGCATAGATATTTTGTTACATTAGTTGTAAACAAATATACCTAATACCTACTACCTATTTCGAGATCATATATTTTGATAAAATATAATATTTATATACTTGTAAGGGTATCAAAATAATCCGGTCACATTGTAAATAGGTTGCTACACACGTAGTAGCGGGCTATAAATAGTAAATACGTTCTAAACTGGTTAATACTGATCACTTAGGGCGCGGCTCACGGCCTTTCAGTGTATACAAAATAAAACAAATTATGCGTAAGCGTCTATAGTTAGTCTGTGCAAATTACAAAGAGAATGAATGAAGGATTGAAGGAAAGCATTTTCAGTATATATGTCTTATCTATGGCATTAAAGGTTAAAGGAAGCAGCTGCAATTGCATTAGATAGTAGCAAAGAGTACTTTTGTATAGGGATGAGGCGTATATACTGGAACAGGTATAAATACCCAGTATGAACATACCAGTACGCGCACCAGGTATGTACGGCAGAGGCCCGTTCCATACCCGATAGGTATGGCTTTGGCCGCCTCGTCCGACGGTGGCGGTATATACGCTCGCGACAACCCGCCGGCCGAATAGGTACGAAGTTCCCCGAACGCTTACGGCGGCTCTTCCCGATCATGCCCGAATTGAAACGTATTGATTTAGGCATTTTATACCAAATAATTCCTTGAGATAAATTTATTCTTTATTTCTATGACCATAAGTTAAATAAATAATTGCGTAATAAGGTTAAACAGTAATATTTATTTTGAATTACTTTTTTTTATTCGTTACGTTAATAAAGATGGAGCTTATTTTAGACTGATTAAATCTCAATTTAAAAAAACTGATTGCTAAAAAAACATCTAAATGTTCCAATTCCAACCAAAGAAAGGTTCAATTCCATACCGGGTCTCCAAAAGGAGGCCTGAACATAACTAATACCTATAGGTATTTTGATACTGGGTTTTAGCACCGGGTATACGGCGATACCCGTAACTTTGAGGCCGGGTATAGAATGTTGCAGGTATATCTCATGCCTACTTTTGTATATCTGAAAGGATAGTAGATATAGAAATGCCGAAAAAATTTATCGATATTTTTGCCGATATATTTTGATTCGATATATCGAAATAAAATATTCAATATCGAAGTCGTATCAAAAACGATATTTTTTTCAAATTAGAATTCGGGACAGATTTCGTACATTCAAATCCTTACTAATATTATAAACGCGAAAGTTTTTATGTATAGATGGCTGTTTGTTACTCTTTCACGCAAATACTATTGAATGGATTTTAATGAACCTTCAGCCTATTCTAGGCAGACTTAGTCGCGGGCAGCAGCTAGTATTTAATAGTTGGCATACGTTTTTTTTGGACTATAGGGCCTAAAAAGAAAATACCGATATATTTTTTCACTTTCGTCAGTACGTTTTTCACGTTCCATAGCTAACAGTAAACAGTAACTCGCTCCAGGTATGGGTTACAAATTTCGACATATCGAAATATCGAATATTGTTAAAAATTGTGGTGAATCGATATTAAATATTTATTTTAGAATATCAAATTCGGATATTCTTTTAAAACAATATAAATAAACAATCACAATGAGTGTAAAAATCTTCACACGCTCTTTACACTACGTTTGTTTTAAAAAAATTATCAAACTCTTCTTAAGACTTTAGCTGATCCGTTAAAATCTAAAATATAAAATTCTCGTGTCACGGTGTTTGTAATTGAACTCCTCCGAAACGGCTCGACCAATTTTCGTGAAATTTTGTGTACATATCGGCCAGGGTGGAGAATCTGACATCTATTTTTCATACCCCTAAATGTTAAGGGTGGTCTACCCCTAAATTTTTTTTATTATTTATATAATTTTTTTTCTTTTTATTTTTTTATGACCCCTCTACGATCAACCCGACTTTTATTTATAATTAATAAAGTATATATAAACTTTAATTTTTTTGGTAAGATTTTTTTTATTTTGTCATGACACAATAAAAAATCTCATATTACTCTCAATTTTTAACCCCTTTACGATCAAGCCCTATTTTTTATTTGTCACTACATAGTATTAAACAAAGTCGTCCCACTGTTTGTCTGTCCCTATACCTTGTGCGTACTAGATTAATAATGTAGAAGACATGGGCGTGGGGGACAAATTTAATATTCATATCGATATCAAAAACCGTTTACAAATATCGATACTAAATTCCATGTTACACTGGTTACCGTACACTAAAAAGTAATTACCCCCTACACTACACATGTCCCACGGCTGGAGAAAGGCCTTTGCACCCTATGCCCTAATACCCTCTGTACAGAGGCCTTTACGTTATTATTCAAAAATATACAGGTTACCATACACTGTTTTCCGTCACCGTTGAACATGTGATATGTTAGCATTTAAAATTAACAATTTCATTCGTGACGGCACCGGGATTTGAGTTCAGGTCGAGTAAAATCTATTTAATGCGAGCCGTGATAGCTTACCGCCCAGGCTTTCGCTTTAAAGTTGTTTTATTCGCAGACATAATTATATTAAACGAAAGGAAGTTCGGACTAATTCTGTTTTAGTCAATTATATATAGTTTATGTAATGCATCGATTTTTAGCCGATTTATGTCATAGTATTTGCCTATATCTCCAAAACTCCAATTAATTATCACTATTTTAATGCGACATACATACTTCATGAATAGTAAACAGTTTATTTACAAATTAACCTAAAATATAAACTAATCCAACTATAAAAACGTAATTACATTATTGATTTTCTGTAAACGTATTTATATTTTATATTTTAAAACAATAAAACTAGACATTATTCTTATTCGGAAAAATTCTTTATCGGTATTTAATAATTTATAAACGCCAAAAGTAAGTAAAAAATATTTAATTTTTACAAATTTTCGGAAATTTTTATCCAGCTAATGGTGCGGAACGATGTCATTATTTTCGTTAGTATTTTCGTTCTGTATTAATGGATACCAAAGTTTGGTGTATCGATAATATTTAAAATAAATCATTCAAAACACCTTATTTTCATACAGCTAAAGTTTGTTATCAGTCATTATGATAACCTAAACTAACCTCACAGTAGCATTTCCATCTCTTTTCGCCACTGTGCATTAGAAAGTGATGAAATGTGAATGGTAATAACATTACGGAGAAAACGTTGCGCTGTACCTTTTTGCTTCGTTTTGGTTATAGAACGTTACGGTTAGTTATTAGCTTATACAGTTTTTGTGATATCGGATATGAAATCGATACAAACGATATGTACCGCGTAACTGATTTCAGTTACGTTTTGATATATCGGAAACATACCTATAATTTAGTCGAGTACTTACCGAGTAATTTAAAAGCGCCCGTTCCGCGACATCGTGTGTGATAGAAGCCATCCAGCCGAAGTCCGCCGAAGCCACTCCGCCTAACGTCGAGGTACTAACTCCGTGAAGCGTCGAGCAGCCTAGGCCACCTTGTCCGGAACGTGTGCGCCGTGCAAGCCTCACCGACTCCACGCACCCCTGCGACATTGAGATTACTTGCGCGACCTCGCACTATGTCCCCCCTTTCTTTGGAAAGGGGCAGGCAGTACGCGCGCTGGGAAGCGCGACGATCACCGAAACACAGCGACCTTGTTACCCCTCCCTGCTCGCTGGGCGCTTCGCTGGGCCTCCCCTAGGGGTCTCACCCGGCTAAGTTGCCCGCGCCGAAGGGAGTAAGGTACTAGCTCGCCTAGGGGATCGATTCCGCCCATAATAACGGGCTAGTGACGGAGACGCGTAGGATGGAGGGCACATCGCCCCCCAAGCCGCGCAGGAGGACCCGCACATCTGCGGCAGCGGACCAACTGCTCACCGAGGGAGCTAAGCTCCCAAGGGAATTGTTGCGCCCGCAACCGCAGCGACACCAGACAGAAGAGGGATACCTGTCAAGCGATGAAGAGTATCAAGAGAACGTTGCCAGTACTTCCAGGGTGGCGGTAGTCAAGGCCGACGGTGGAACGTCTATGTACGTATCCAC